TCTCCGGTATCCTCTCCGTCATCGCCGTCGTCGCCCGAACCATCATCAGTCGGTTGAGCAGCTTCAGAGCTAACGGGGGTAGCACTTGTAGAAGTCGCAATACCCGAAGAAATGACCGGCTTAGAAGATGACACTGCATGTGATGAGGTCTCGGCGGCACCGCTACTAGTTACGTGTGCAGAGCTCGAGGTTGTGGTGTGCGATGCCGTGTGCGATGCCGTGTGCGATGCCGTGTGCGATGCCGTGTGCGATGCCGTGTGCGATGCCGTGTGCGATCCCGAGTGCGATCCCGAGTGGGTTGCAGAGTGCGATGCAGAGTGGGACTCGGGAGTGGAAGTCGGATGCTCAGATCCTGTGCTTGTATGGTGGTGTGCAGCGCTGGAGGACAAATGATGGGATTCGGTGCTCGACGTATGGGTATGACTTCCTGTAGCAGAAGACCCTGGACTCGTGGTATGGCTATGAGTAGAAGTGCCTGCCGCAGACCCCTCCGAGGCTGTCCGTGTTGATGTCCCTGGAGTGGGAGTTTGCACAAACTGGCCTCCTGACGCAGAGGTCTCGTGAGTCGCACTTCTCGAGGTACTGTGGTTCTCGGGTGTCTTGGTGCTGGTCGTATGCGTGGGTGTGGCCTTGGTCGAGGTCGAGGTACTGTGGTCCTCGGGTGTCTTGGTGCTGGTCGTATGCGTAGGTGTGGCCTTGGTCGAGGTCGAGGTACTGTGGTCCTCGGGTGTCTTGGTGCTGGTCGTATGCGTAGGTGTGGCCTTGGTCGAGGTCGAGGTACTGTGGTCCTCGGGTGTCTTGGTGCTGGTCGTATGCGTAGGTGTGGCCTTGGTCGAGGTCGAGGTGCTATGTGACTCAGGTGTCTTGGTACTCGTGGAAGTAGATGTATCCTTGGTCGAGGTTGAGGTACTGTGAGACTCGGGCGTTTTAGTGCTTGTTGTGTGAGTAGCCGTGTCCTTGGTCGAGGTCGAGGTAGAGGTCTTGGTCGAGGTAGAAGTCTTGGATTTGGTGCTCGTCGTGTGGGTAGTCGTGTCCTTGGTCAAGGTAGAAGTCTTAGACTTGGATTTTGTGCTCGTCTTACTTGACTTCTTGCTTGTCTTGCTCGACTTCTTGCTCGTCTTCTTTTTGTGCTTTCTGGCCACCAGCCGGCCGTGCTTGTCTTCATCCACCTCATGCTCAATGGCGGCAGAATCCGACTCAGCCAGCCAGGCTCCTGCTACCGGAGCAGGAGTGATAGCAGGGTGAGAGGCTACCATATCGGTAGTAGGTAGATCAGCTCCCCAGGAGCTGGAAACCAGGCTGCCGGCCCACAGGGCCAGCAACAGCGTCCTCCTAAGTGTCGCAGGCATTTTCTGTGTTCACGATGCTTGGGAAACGAAATTTGGAGGTGGGAGGTAAAAGCATATCTTATATGATCGCCCTGATAACATAGCCGCATTAGGATTCAGCCGTGGTATACTGAAACGGCTGCGGTCCAGGGTCGTCGGCCCCATGCGTCGAACCTCTAACTCGTTAGTGAATTAGATAGATCTGGGGACTGATTCGGATGGACTATCGAACCCAATGAGTGGTAGCCAACAGTGGGTCTGTGGTCCTTCATAAGGGGCGAAAAGGCGTTGCTCATTCAATTTTGCCAGTGTTGGGTCAGATGACTCTGGGATTGGAGTCTTTCACTCGACCTGTCTATATGCTATCAACCTGTCATACTTAGTTTCCCAGCACTATCTTTTTTCATCGGTATCCTGACTTGGAGGGCGGTACGGACGTCGGCTTGTGCATCTGCAAGCTTGAGAAGCTGTGGCATCAGTGAATGAGACTCACAAAGCAAACAAAGCAAAATGGGTTATGAACCAACAAGCTAGTTGTGTAGCGAATGCGGATGCAGTGGACTCAGTCCATCCAAAGACTAACAAGACTCACGGGGCACCTCCAGCTAACTCAGAGTGTCGGTTACCCCTGGCGATCTCTGAACTAAGAGGTTTTGGCCCCATGGCCCCAAACGTGCCCGACAGATCAGGTGTTTGCTTCCTGTTTGCTTAGGGATAATGTGCCAGTTCCAACCAGCCTCAGAATCGCCCCCACGTCAGCGACTAACACTGCCACCTTAGAATCAACCAGACCTCCTCTTTTCCCTCCTCCCCCTTCTTTCCATTCATTCATGGATAGCTTAATCTCGGGAATATCATCTGGATCCTCGGAAAGTCGGCGTTAGTAGCCCTCGCTAAGTGTTCCTCTCCCCTGAGCTCCAAGCGCAGAAAAGCGAAGAGCCCGGAAGCCTTGGGGGAATGTTACCCGACATGGTCAGCCTCACGGCGCAACTACTTGTGGCACACAGAACCGGGTTTAGCCTGTGTTGGCTTTCACATCCAGGCCTGTCTTTCCAATCGAATCAATGACAGGACTAGTATTCTTGTGTCAGCCCCCGACGCTCATGCAGCATGCTACTACATGCTACATGCTACCTCGTACGGGCCGATTGACCAAGAGTGCTTGTGTTAGATAAGATGATATTTTTCAATTGCTAATATGGTTTCCCAGAGACGTCTCCTCCCGGCAGTGTCGCTGTCTGCGCCAGTCATAACCCCAGATCCACACCACTACCATCGCTGGCGCGCACAGAAAACACATGAATCCGATTACAGTAAAAGCCCACCCATTGCCGATGGCGTCAATCATAGGAAGGATTGCAGCAGCTGCACCAGCTCCGAGCCAACATCGTGTGAGATTCATGAGGGCTGTTGCCATGGCCGGACTCTGAGGGTAGATATCGACCATCAACGCACTCAAGGTATTCATTACTGCTGCGGAAGTATACCCGATGAGAAGAAGTAGGATGATTGGACCTGCAAGATTGGTCTCGTAGTGCAATACCCAGCCATACGCAATCATGCTCAGTGCCTCCCCGATTGCCTGCGGTAAGACGACCTCAGTGCGGGGGCGTTCGATGGCAAACTTATCCAGGTCAGGTCGGTGCTTGCTGGAAATATCTATGCCTTGGCTGTGTGCATGCCGTCGATAGTTCCAGTCCGTTATTATCCCCTGTGTGTATGCAGCAATCAGATTGCCCGCACCAAGTGGAATAAAGCACAGACCGATCTGCACCTCGTTAAAGCCATAGATGCGGCTGAACTGCGAGGTGATGGTGCCTGTAACAGCAAAGTAGCCTGCGATGGCCACACCATTTCCCAGAAGGATCAGGAAAACTTCTTTCTTAAAAATAATGGTAAGGGCCTTGAGCGGGTTGGGGAAGCGGATGTGAGTCTCCACTGAGGAGTAACCATCGGCCCGTTGACGTCGAGAGCAGAGCTGAAGCCCCGACAGGTTCCATATTGGGGGATATTGTGAGCCATTGCCTACAACCTTGCGCGCAGTTTCGGGAAGGAAAAACAGTAGCACAATAAAAAAAGCACCTGCAAGGATTGTCAACAACCAAAATATGAAGGGCCAGCCTAGGAACTGGGTCAGGAGCCCCCCGATTATAGGCCCTATCGACGGGCCAAGGATGAAGCCGGCCGAGACATATCCAATGTACCTGCCGCGTTCGGCGGTAGTGACGACGTCAGCAACAATAGCATTAGCGAGAGCAATGGTGCTGCTACCGCCAGCACTCTGAAGGCATCTCAAAATAAGCAGCGCGGCATAGTTGCGCTGCAGGGCGAGCCCGATGTTGGCGGCGATATAGGTGATGAAGCAAAGAATGTACGCTGGTCGCCGACCTGCACTGTCGGAAAGCCCGCCAAATATAGTGGGTGCGAGGCCTTGAAAGATCTAGTTTATCATGGTAAGAACGAATTCTCGTCTTTTTGCTGCTGTATGTATTTGCCTACCATGTACGTCGATAAGGTGAGGTTGATCAAGGTATCGCTCACGTGGAGCTGCTCGGCAATAGTGTCAAGGGCGGGCAGGTAGATGTTGGCCGACAAGGAGGAGAAAATACTGGCCACTGAGGCCATCAGGACAATCAATGCTTTTGTCCAACGGGAGAAGGTCGAGTAAACCTCGGTTTCACCGGGAGTCGAATTCGGATCTTCTTGCGGTGGCTCGGTATCCGACGGCACCCTTTCTGCTTTGGGGTCCGGGTCATCACACTGTTTCTCGCTCGACTTCACGGAGACCATTATATGTGTGCTCTATATTGCACCGAGATATACACTGGGCTAGAATCCAGCCCCTGGGATACCAGGTAAATCGAACACAAACTCGCAGGGCGATGCACCCTTTTGAATGAGCATGCGTGTCGGAGGGCTCTGACTTCTGCCTGCAGCTAATCATTCAAGGACAAGGCCGATCAATATCTGCATGGTCGATCACATCACAGGGGCCCGGATCCTGTCTGGTCGAATAGCGCACGCTTCGTCGTTGAGCTACCACGGATAATGATGCATAATGCTGCTCGTCCTCGAACGTGGGCAAGCGTCAGTCTAGCGCAGAGATGACAATATTCCCCGTAGGGGCTACTTCATTGACTCAGTTGATGCCATCATTATATTGAAAAATCGCAGCTTATTAGGCAGGCTTTCAGCTGCTGAGTTCTCTCTCCTGCCTCATCTCTTATAAGGCGTTATGCAAGGTATGTATCCCTGCGATACCTGCAGTCTGCCGGTCCATTTTCCTCCCATTAACCCCAATCCACACGGTATTTCCTTTTGAGGGCTTCTCTTTCTCCCAGGTTTCCACATCTGACGTGATTTGGATTATCCTTAAGTTCAACACTACACACAGCTGACAATCGCAACACATCTTCAACACCATGTTATCGATACCTATAGATCATCCCTTGTATCAGCTTTAATGATCCCAGCGCCAGTTCCCTTATCTATCAAAAACAGTGCTATCTCGAAAGCTTACCCCAAACCAACTACATGCTTTTGTAGCATTGTTGTGTGAAGCTGAGATGCGTATCCTCGAATGTGCTGTTCTGGTGGTCCGGTACGGCGAGGTCCCCCGTAAGCGTGCGGGACGGGAAACTTTTGTCCGGAGATTTTACGGTCAAGCCGTTGCTTATATTTATTGGCACTAGAACCTTGGACTATTGATTGAAGTGCTCGAGGCGAGCTGCTCCCCAGCTACTTTGGGGTCAATTTATCTGCACCTGGATTGTGTAGGGTGTGTCCACGAATGGATCTGTTCGATAGTGATATCCAACCGGAGTAAATGTCACGGAGCCATAGAATCTATATATAGGGCGCAGAATGAGTAGCTGACAATTTTTTTTTTGGCTAAATTGCCATGTAGTACTCTGTTCCAGCTGGGAAATTGACGTTAAATTGGGCTTCTTTGTTGAAGCTTCATACAGTAGACTAAACTGACATATTGCTGGAGCCAACAAGAAAAAAACCGCAATTTATGTGAATGAAACCATTTCAGCCGAGAAGGAACTGATATCGGAAAGAAAATGTATTATTTTTGCAATCATAGAATAATGCTTGCACTGAACCCACTGAAAAAAATATCATCCCATCAAGAGATGCTTACTGTACTTAATTGTATCGGGCCCCGGAAGTTATATATATCGGCTTAGTAGTGGTCCACGATTCACTATGGACAGAAAACGACAGAAACCCAACAGTACAAGAATCTTTCTTCATTATCCCGACGGACTTTGGATTAATTAATCAGGAGTTGCAATCTTCTCATATGCTTCACTCATACTGAATACATACACTGCCACCTCAACATCACCCCACAATTCCGGCTTCAGGAAGATTCCGCAGAACCGCAATTTCAGTTTTCTTTGGAAGATAGAGCCAAAGTTAGACACAAATAGTATATCAAGCCCGGGTGGTCTAGTGGTATGATTCTCGCTTAGGGATACAAACCCAAGCATATCTGCGAGAGGTCCCGCGTTCGATCCGCGGCTCGGGCCTTGAATCTTCTTTTTGGTTTTTTTGTCCCTCTATTTCTTTCTACAATAGCTGTATCGAATCCTCAATAATATTCAGTTTGTTCTTTCTATTAATTGATTTATGTTGTCTGTTGCTGGCTGTATCCCTATGTCAATGAACACCTTACTATTCTCGCCCGGGGAAACAGGAAGCAACGAACAGTCCGACGAGTGATTTCTAGTAGTTTGAATCGTCGAATGATCAATCAATCAGTCCGTTCTACCTCTCATTCTGCCTACCAGCACAACTCATTAAAGGCGAGGGGGATTTCTATTTTCCTTCGACCTACGACAGCTTGGTTGTATTGCTCGAATCTCACGCCCGCTCTACCGCAGCAGGCCACTGTGCACCAGTTGCCGCCGCCTGTCCCGTCATTTCAAGCGCATCAGCATCAGTTCCATCAGCAGCGCGATCTTCCTCGTTCCATCCTTCGCGATCATCCTTCACCATCCGCACAAAACACACGTCCAGCAGTAATGCCACCGCGCTGATCCCTACCCCGAAGTACAAAGCGGCCCGGTACCCCATTATCCGACCGGAGTGTTTCGCGATCTGGTCCTCGATTGTAGCGGCAAAGCCCAACCCTAGACTAACGCCGTAGAGGTTCAGTGCGCCGATCAGTGAACCTGCAATGCCTTGCTGGTGCCGACGGACGGAGTTGCTGGCGATGATTTGCGCGGCGGTGTAGACGAAGTCCGGACAGAATGAGAAAAGCACGATGGAGGGGAAGACCTGCGCCCAGTAGGTTTGGTGCACTGGGACGGTGGCCATTAGTGCGTTGGAGATCAGGATGGTTATGGTTCCGATGGCGAGGATCCATTGCGCTGCGAATCGAGGGACGAGCCATGCCGCAAGGGAGGCTGCGCCCGTGGCACAGATTACGAAGGGGGTCCAGCCGACGGCGAAGTGCAGGGGGGACCAGTGCCAGACGTCTTGGAGCCAGAGGACCTGATACCAGATCAAAGTGCCGACGGCCATGTAGTTGAGGAGGACGACGAGGAGTAGTGTGAGGATTGATGGGGCCTTGAAGATCTCGAGCGGCATGATAGGGTAGTCTGTGCCGCTTTTCTCCCAGAGAAGGAAGGCCCCAAAAAGGATGACGGATGTGATTAGGAGGGCGATTTCGTAGGGAGTGGACCATCCTACGCTGGGTGCTTGACTGCAGTAGAGTGTGGTGAGTATGGATTTGTCTTCTTCCGGGCGGAAATTAGCTTACTTCCAGACAAAGTTGAACAAGATCAGGGAACTTGTTCCCAGTGCTGATCCTATCCAGTCGATCTTTCCGTGTCTGTCGAGGAGAGTCTCTCGTGAACTCAATGCCCACAAGGGGACGAAGGTGGCAATGCCAATGGCAGCTCTATGGTTCAACTTCGTTAGTACTATCCCATTCAGCAGGGTACTACCACCTACATGAAGACGAAGAACCATTTCCATTCTGTTCCTTCCATGAATGCACCCAGGGACAATGCCCCGAAATAGCCACCGGTTGGCGCCGACGCAGCGAAGAAACCCAAACTGAGGTTGCGCACGCGTCCTGGAGGATTGGTGCTTGCAATCAGAGCCACAGCATTAGGCATGATGAAGGCACCTCCTAGGCCTGCGAGCGCCCGCATGGCGACAAACGCATAGAAGTTGCTGCAGAAAGCGCTGATCAAGGTACAAAGACTAAGCCATGCTCCGCCCGCCAGGAGAAGCTCTCGATGGCCGTAGACGTCTCCCAATCGCCCGCTCATAAGAACGAAGGTCCCTTGTGTCATTCTAAACAGAGTTAGTGTAACCATGATTATCTTCTTGTTGCTCCAGCTGCTACTAACGCATAACTTGCGCCGACCCACGTGGCAGAGCTCTCCTGAGCACCTAGAGACTCCCCTAGCAGAGTTCCACCCGCGATCCCAGCAAAACTCACAGTCATCTGGCATCCCTCAGCAGCGGAAAATCTAGGAATGTGATGGATACGTTACCTGCACAAGATTGGCCAGGAGCAGCAGCACGGTGATGGCCAACCGACGGGATTGAGTGATTTGGACAGAAGGCGCTCGCTCAAAGACGGCCTGGCCTGCCGTGGGCGTCACATTCCGCTGGAGAGAGTCATTGAGCGGGTCTTGGGTATCGTCTGCAGGAGTTTGGGGGATGGATTGGAGAGGGGACGGGACCGCTGGATGCGACAACGACGACGCAGGAGCTGTAACCTCGTAGTGAAGGGCCTGCACCAAGGACATGATGATGGTAGAACAATTGTTGATGAGGCCAATTTGGGGTGCGTTATCAACCTGGAAGGTGAGGTTGAAATAACTCTATCTGTATTATTAATTGACCGGTCCAGTTAGTGTCAATACTAGGATTGCATCCGGATTTAGGCTGAGTGCGGAGAATGTCGAAGCAGCACAACGAGGGGTCGGGATGAGCTATCAACTGCATCACTTTGAGTCACGGACGAGCATAGGAGAGATTTACCAGATAGAGTTATGATAGCCGCCGGAGACATAGCTCCCGATCCTTTGTTATCTTGGCTTTTCCCACTCTCCGCGACCTCGGACACGTTGCAGCCGGGGATTGAGCAGTGACTGTGACTCCCGATGCATGACCAGAAGAGTTTTCTGGAGTGCAGGGGTCATGGCCTACAAGTTAGCTCGTGTGCACCGGCACATGCATCGAAGGAAAAGGTTCTAGACCCAGATATTTCACTCTGGCAGTTGGATTCCGGATTTTGTGTCACTGTTCAGTACTGATAAAGAGGTGAAATGGATTTTCATCGACCAGGAGTGGAGACCCCACAAAATATCTCGTATTCGCTCTTTGCAGCATGGCCTCTCCGGGGGTGTGTATGACTCGGTCACTGACAGCATGGACTCAGTAAGCTTGCATCGGGACTGGATAAAAGTGACTCTCATTAGTTGGCGATTGCCGAAGTGACAAATAGTTAATGTTGTTGCATCCCTACTGAAATAAAGGGCAGAACCAATGGGGGCTAGAGGAAAGTCTCCGCCGCTTCCCTGCAAGCGTGATTTATCTTGAGTCAGTCGTCGTCTTCATTCATGTAGCTCGGCTTCACTCAATGTGCTTAGATGCAGCATGTATGTTCCATGATTGTTCAGTGCAGTCCATTTTGAGCAATATACATAGACTTTAGGTGCTCTGACAGGCTACAAGCGACGTCTAACAACAAAGTTCTGGGGAGATATTGCAACGAATGTTCAGTATATGCATGCATTAATTGACATCTCGTATGTTCAGGACGAGCTATCCTGGATAAGGGCAATGTGTGGTTTTGTGCTCATTTTGGCGTCTTTCTGTATAATGCAGTGAACGGCGACAATTCCTTGTCATATCCTTTTCTCTTCGAACAGAGTACTGCCGACCTAATCTTGACATGCACCAGGCGCTATATGCTCCCGAGCAACGCGAGGACTTCTGGACAACCAAGCCATGAGGCATACCAGTTTGGCGTACGTCCATGGTTATCGTTGGCTTCGGGGTTCGCCCCGGCTGTGAGTAGGACTCTGACAACGCCTACATGGCCATGCTGGGCAGCGCATGACAGAGGCGTTCGATACCCACTCCTTAGGTGATCGGGATTCGCACCTTTTAGCAAGAAGTAACTCGTCATACCCTCTAGTCCCAGATTAGCAGCCTCAACCATCGCGTCCGCAAAGTGGCGCCCCACCCTAGGGTCTTTCTCAACCAGCATCTCGACTATGGATTGGTGGTTACGCCATGCCGCACACACCAGGGCTGGACTATCCCATGTCTCGAAACCAATCATCGGGTCCGCACCGTGATCAAGCAGTAAGCGGGCAATCTCATTGTCTCCAGTCCGGGTGGCATTGATGAGGGCTGTCTCAAGTTGTTGGCGATGTACGTAGTTGACGGGAGCGCCATTGCAGAGCAGCATCTTCACAATGTCGACCTGTCTGCTGCGTGCAGCTGCGCACAATGCCCTTCCAAGACTATCAACTTCGGCAGTGTGCGGTAGGTCCTTCACATGGGAGATGAGGCGTTCAGTCACAGCTAGACTTCCAGCAATGATGGCTACCTCCAGAGGACTGTGATCAAGCTTGTTGGGAAGAGTAGGATTTGCGCCCCTTTCGAGTAACCTTCGGACAACAGGCAAGTGCCCTTCACGGACAGCGATCATGAGCGGGGTGTTGCCATGGACGCCAGCGGGATACTCTATATCTGTTCCTAGATCCAGGAGAGCATCGATGATGTTTACGCAGCCGTATGTTGCGGCTGTAGAAATAGGATGTGAATCCGTAGTGGGGTTCTGATTGTTTGCTGGAAGTTTCGCTCCAAAGGCTAGTAGCTTTAGGAGGGTTTGTAGCTGTCCTTTGCTGGCAGCCCAATGGAGAAGAGATTCGCCCATGGTCCGCACCGCGCATTGATAGAGACAAGGGTTGACCCACCGATATAGGTATTGGCTGGTCTGAGCGAAGCAGTTGAGGTCGGTTTCGCTTTTCAGGTGCCCCGCGATGATGGGGACCAATTCAGGTGGGAGATGAAAGAGTGGCATCGCGAGAAGGTTTGGATATTTCAAGAATAGCCACAGCAGAATATCAAGAGATTCAAGAAACTTGTAGAGCGCAATTGAGAAAACAATCCATACATTAAATGCGAGGGTAGATTTGCATCCATGATGGCATCCGCAGGTCCCGGTGAGGCTGTTTCCCGATCGGGTCGAGAATTGAATTTACATGCAAACTTTATTGCTTTCGCCCTCCCTAATCGGCCAGTGGATTTCGATCGCATGGCCTTGGACTTCCCCATTGAAGCAGCCGTTTACTACAATCTTCTCTTGGCATGTATTGGCCCCGTCAAGGACACCGGCCTTCACAGTAGCAGCAACAGCTTCGTACAATTCATACAGCGCCAGATTCCTCCCAATGCACGACCGTGATCCTAGACCGAAGGTAAAGAAACATAGCTCGCGCGTTGCGTAGTCAGTCCCATCAGTTAACCATCGCTCAGGCCTGAACGTGAAAGGATCAGGAAACGCATCGGGATCATGATGGAAGACGTATATCGAGGCCCCGACCGAGACCCCTCCTGGGAGGTACACGCCACTTGCGTGACATCCGCCGTCGGGTACAGCCCTGGTGAGAGGCGCAGGATTGGTCATGGCGAGTCGTAGGCCTTCAGTAATTACGCTCCGTAGATACGGAAGGCTTTGCAGGTCCACTGAGCTAGAGTCGCCTAACTCTTGTTGAAGGCGCTCACGGACGTGGGACTGGCGGACAAGATGGAACAAGACAGTCGCAAGCGTCTGACCGGTTGAGCTGGTCGCAGCGAATAGTGACCCTTCACAGATACCAATGACCTCGTCCTCCGCCGCTCCAGCTGTGCAGAGACGGCCGTGGTAGGTGTGTGCTAAGGTACTGAGATCTGCGTTGACAATTCCTTCAACAATCGATCTTGCGAATTGGTCAACTCGACGCATTGAAGACCCCCAATAACGATCCTGAACGGTGACATGGAGCGATAAAATCCTCGAGAACAACCAATTGGGAAGCATAGAGTAGTATCCAAAAGCTGCGATAGCCTGCAGCCATGCACTCGCCGAGAATTTTGTCGGCGGTGAGCGAGTATCTATGTTGACGGGCTCGTTCAGCGCTCCATACGACCTATCGAACATATAGCCCGTCATGACGTCCATCGAGAGCCGTAACGCCAAATCTAGGATGTCAGCGCGATACGAGGCGGATTTTACCGCGCGTCTCTTCTCATTGGCCAAACGAGCGATGAATTGCTGGACATATTGCTGAACATTCTGTGTTCCTACCGCTTCTCGTATCCTAGCAGGCGTAAATAATGGCAGAACAGCCTTAGCTCGCTTATCGCGGTAGGCTTTGTCGATAGCGGAAAATATGGTGGGCTGCCCATTGACATCAAAGTTGCGATACCGAGCATCTTTCATGAAACCCCCATTAGCCACGTAGATAGTAGCTAAGGCATGGGGATCGGAGATGGAGACCTGATTTGGGGCGATGCGCAATACTCGAGTGTTGTATCGGTGATGGTAATACACCAGGGTCTGTGGTTCGGTCCCAAGGAAGACGATAATCCACTGGGGGATGGATGAGATGCAAAAGATCCAAGGCCCAGGAACATGGGCTAGAGGATGCAGGGTGAGACGATAGATTGCCACGGTGATGACGCCGATGCAGAGGAGGATCGAGGCATCAGCTGCAACCCCGTTACCGAGCAGCATCATGACAAGCTCGACATTCCTACCGAAGCACTACCAGGCGATCAGCCGAGGCAGTTTTCGCGATGAGAGATTGTCCAGTGTGCCATTTGCCATTTGAACTTGTCTCAGAGGCGCGTTGATCTGAGCGTTGCCGATCTGCGTCGCAAGAATGACGAGCGGTGAGGGGTTGCAGGGTGGGAGAAACAAGGCTGGCTCGGATTAACCTTCTCAACATCTCTTCTCCTCCCCTTGCAACGTCTGCTCCATCGCCATGCATGAGACTACAACCTCGAGCATCTCTGATTCCGAGAAAGCGATGTCTGCCTCCGAAGAATGAGAATGGCCATTGAAGTGGGAAATGATAAGGTACCGTCGGGTCCATGGTCCTGAATTATATGAACCTCTCAAAGTCGAGAGAGGCTAACGAGTGATTTGATTGCCAGTGGAAGCCGCACCGGCCAATCCTGACCCAGAAGCTGCTGCTATAAATGGCCAGGACACCCTCACATTTCATCATTGCAATAGCCTGAAAGGGGAGGGGGATGTCCATCAAACACGAACCACCGATAAATGAGAACCTTCCCCGCAGTCCGAGCGGACGATCGGCGACGATCCCCTGGCAAGAACCACGGGTCGGCCAGCGACACCCCTGAGACTCCTGCAAGTCGCTATCGAGATCCGAGGTTTCTCGATTGTCTCAAAGACGGGGAGTTTCATATGCAACTGGCCCGGCTGCCGTCGCATGACAAACAACGATGCTACATAAGCAGATCGTAACCCACCGTCCCATTTGAAACTCCATGACTGAATTCTACACTCAACTTCACCCATCATGACTACCAACGGCATTCAACCCGGCCACGTCGGCAATCTGACTCAGGATCAAGAGGCCAAATTACAACAGCTCTGGTCCATTGTCCTTACTCTGCTGGACGTGAAGTCCCTACAAAGTGGAGATGCCTCGGCACAGACCCAGCCCGATCAGCGTCCAAGCACGTCGCTCTCCCGAGCCGACACCGTCGTTTCCGCTCATGGCCAGACGGCTTTCACAGAAGACTTGTCCCGAGTCCTCCGGGAGAATGGTATGAGCAACCCTGACATTAAGTCCGTCCGGGAGGCCCTGAGTGACACCTCGATCGACGACCTTCGCTCGGGTCTGTTGTACACTGCCAAACATGACTCCCCTGACGTCCTCCTACTTCGCTTCTTACGCGCTCGCAAGTGGGACGTCAGCAAGGCCTTCGGGATGATGTTGAAGGCGCTCGTCTGGCGCAAGGATCAGCACGTCGACGACAAGGTGATTGCGAACCCTGAACTTGCCGCATTAGTCACGTCGCAGAACACGGTGGACACGCACGCGGCCAAGGAGTGCAAGGACTTCTTGGACCAAATGCGTATGGGGAAATGTTATATGCACGGAACCGACCGCGATGGCCGACCTGTTCTTGTGGTGCGCGTTCGCTTCCATCAACCCTCAAAACAGAGCGAGGCAGTGATCAATCGATTCATCCTTCATACGATCGAGACAGTCCGGTTATTGCTGGCGCCTCCCCAGGAGACAGTGGTACGTCTATCCATCTTTTGTTTCCATGGGCTCCCACGGGTTGTATCCCGCTAATGATCCATGTGGCAGACCATCATCTTCGACATGACTGGCTTTGGCCTCTCGAACATGGTAAGTTGCTCTGCAAATCAGGGATATACGCACGGGGAACTGACCATGACCAGGAATATGCACCGGTGAAATTCATCATCGAGTGTTTCCAGGAGAACTACCCTGAGTCGCTGGGATACATGCTTATCCACAACGCTCCTTGGGTCTTCTCTGGTATGTTTGCACCCCTCGCCCCTTTACTCTGCCGGGTCTAATGAAGCGATAGGAATTTGGAAGATCATCAAGGGGTGGATGGACCCGGTGATTGTGTCGAAAGTGAACTTCACCAACAAGGTGTCCGATCTGGAGAAGTTCATTGCCCCGGAGCAGATTGTGAAAGAGCTGAAGGGCAAGGAAGACTGGACCTATGAATACGTCGAGCCGGTTGCCGGCGAGAACGAGCTGATGGCGGATACGGAAACCCGCGACCGCATTTACAGCGAGCGGTTGAAGATTGGTGAGGAGCTGCTGCTGCGGACCTCGGAATGGGTCTCCACCAGCCAGCGAAAGGACGCGGCCGCTGCCACAACGGCCCGAGAACGACGGAGCGAGACGATCGAATCGCTGCGCCAGAACTACTGGGAGCTGGATCCGTATGTGCGCGGGCGCACGTTCCTGGACCGGACGGGAGTAGTCAAGAAGGGGGGCAAGATTGACTTTTACCCCAGCCCCGATTTGGAGCCCGCCACGGCTAAGATGCTGGAAGTGGAGCATTTTGAGCGAGCTCAGGTCAAGGTGGTGGATATGCAATGATTGATTGTTTCCTTTGTTAGGTTCATGGCGTCAGGTTCGGAAGTAATGCTCTTGTGGGACGTGGATTATTATAGTTACTTAAATTACACATTTTCTTAACACATGCATAAGACCCGATACATATAGGTCATAGATTTCTATCAAGATGGCAGAGATTCAGGGTCGTCTTCGAATGGATGATTCAATATAGCTGAAGTCTCCCCTTTCCCGGCTTCCCTCCAAAAGAGAATCCCGACCGCATCGGCGAGACTCGAGTTCCCCACGTGGTGGGTTCCCTACCATTCAACATGTTCAAATTAATCACTGCTTCAACTTTGAAAAACAAAAAAAACCTTCCTCATTTTTTCAATATATTTTTAATGTCCTCTCTCATCTCTCCTTTCAAATCATGCACCATAAAAGATCCGGGATATGCTCGCCGGCAGTCATGGCTCAGCTGCAGCGCAATTTGGCCCCATGCCGCGGAATCCGCTCCCTTTGATCCTGCTTCTCCCTGGCCCGCCCCTTTTCTATTCAGCTTCCCTGCAAGCTTTGGGCAAACACCCACTATCGGCGCCACTAGAGTCGGGTTCTCGCGGACGATCGATCCAGACATCACTGGCACTGACCAGCACCATCTTCTTCAAGTCTTACAGCCCAGAGTGTGACTGGGACCTATCTTCCTCCTGTGCAGGTGTCTTACGCACCGATGTCCAATTAGCTGGCGTTCCGTTCCCCGCATCGGTTCCTGAAGGTTCATCTGAGGCGCACCCCTCCTGAGCCCTGACATGGTTGTATGTGCCCAAATCTCTCCCCTGGCTATCACCTGCCTATACCGGCTTAGCTGTCAGCACTTGGTCCTTGTGATGCATCTACTAATCGCATACTAAACTAGTACTTGCTGCATCTCTGTATGAAGCCTTGACTTTAGACTCTACAGAGTAGTGAAATTAGCTGCTCAGCCTGGTTGATCTTTCCCCTCTTCGTGTCATCCTCCCCTAGCACCGTTCGGCTGATTGGCAGGAAGGTTTATGAAATCGATCGGGCTCTGCATCTGTGCAGCTGAGATGCATCACAATCATCACCAATCATGGGTATCCCTGTCTCCCGATTGATGGCCATGTATAATCTCCGATCAGTTCACTCGTTCAGCTGAGGGAGGGGGTTACGACCATGTAATACTACAGTGGCTTCGGGATTTATTCTTGTCGACCCGTCTGATTGGATCTACGCTCTCAGGGACTCGTCCTGCCATCCATGTCCCATTGGCATGATGGAGCCCCCGCCTGACATTCCTTTCTCCCACGCCCTCCTGACCATTCTCGGTTCGAATCATATTTATTTATGCTGCCCCATGGCGGACGCATTGCATTCTGTCACTGCAGCGTTGTGGCTCTCCCTAGCTAGCTCAAGGCGCATCCTCGTGGAATGCTGTCCACAATGGCCTTTTCCTTCGTTCTTCGTATTCTATCCCCCCTTTTTCTAATCCTGCAACTGTCGACGGCAGCCTCGACGTCCACTCTTCGCCAATGCCTTCTCACTGCGGTGCAGAATGACCCAACCCTTGTCGCCGTGGATGGTGACCTTCTCTATCAGACGCTCGCCGTTCAGGTGTACAACCTGAACTGGCCCGTCACGCCGGCAGCAGTGGCCTTTCCCAAGTCCACCCAGCAAGTCGCCTCTATCGTCAATTGCGCCGTGTCGCTGGGCTACAAAGTCCAGGCCAAGAGCGGAGGCCACAGTTATGGCAATTACGGTACCTAGTCCCTGCCCTCGTTCGTCAGCCGCTCACCCTACTGACCTCACCACACTTTAGGCCTCGGCGGCACCAATGGCGCGATCAGTATCAACCTCAAGAATATGAAATCCTTCTCCATGAACTACACCAACTACCAGGCCACCGTGGGTGCCGGCATGCTAAATGGCGAACTCGACGAATATCTCCACAACGCCGGGGGGCGGGCCGTCGCGCACGGCACCTCTCCACAGATCGGCGTTGGAGGTCACGCAACCATCGGTGGACTGGGCCCCTCGGCGCGTCAATATGGAATGGAACTCGACCACGTTTTGGAAGCCGAAGTCGTTCTTGCCAATGGCACCGTAGTGCGCGCCTCGTCTACCCAGAATTCGGACCTACTATTTGCCATCAAAGGCGCCGGCGCCAGCTTCGGCGTCGTCACCGAGTTCGTCTTCCGCACTGAGCCCGAACCGGGCTCCGCAGTCCAGTATACCTTCACCTTCGGACTCGGAAGCACTTCGGCGCGCGCCGACCTGTTCAAGAAATGGCAGAGCTTCATCTCTCAGCCAGACCTCACCCGCAAATTTGCTAGCATCTGCACCCTTCTCGATCACGTCTTGGTCATCTCCGGTACCTTCTTCGGCACCAAAGAAGAATACGACGCTCTCGGTCTGGAGGACCAGTTCCCCGGCCACACCAACTCCACCGTCATTGTCTTCACCGACTGGTTGGGCCTCGTGGCCCAATGGGCCGAGCAGTCCATCCTTGACCTGACGGGCGGCATTCCCGCGGACTTCTACGCCCGCTGTCTCTCCTTCACGGAGAAGACCCTCATCCCGTCCAACGGCGTCGACCAACTCTTCGAGTATCTCGACAGCGCTGATACCGGAGCACTGCTCTGGTTCGTTATCTTCGACCTCGAAGGTGGCGCCATCAATGACGTCCCCATGGACGCAACGGGGTATGCCCACCGCGACACGCTCTTCTGGCTGCAGTCGTACGCCATCACGCTGGGGTCTGTGTCGGAGACCACCTATGACTTCCTGGACAACGTGAACGAGATTATTCGTAACAATACTCCCGGTCTGGGCAATGGAGTGTATCCAGGCTATGTGGATCCCCGTCTCCAGAACGCTCGCGAGGCGTACTGGGGTTCCAATCTGCCGAGATTGATGCAGATCAAGTCGTTGTATGACCCGACCGATCTGTTTCATAACCCGCAGGGCGTGTTGCCTGCGTGATTTAATTGTGGAGTTCGGGATTGTTGGGGGTTTTCTTGACTCGTACATGGGTTTCATTTCTTGGATAATTTATCAAGTATTTTGTACCTAATGGGTTGTTTTAATGAAATCAGCCTCCGCCCCATCTAATTCTTCGATATCATAATATCTTTTATATAGTGCTTCGCATCACGATCGTGTCACATACTGTCTACTTGTTCTATCGCTTCTATACTATAACTATACTGTACCTACAACTTCGCCGCCGGTCCATCCGGCCGAAGAACCGCCAACGCGGCGGGCGTCACATCCGCCAGGGTACGACACCCCGTCAATTGCATGCAGCGCTTGAACTCTTCGTAGAGAATATCCAGAACGCGAGAGACACCGTTCTCTCCGTCATACTGTTGTCAGGGTAGTTAGCATACCATCGCTGGTTTCCAGATTACATAATGGGGTAGGCATTTAAGAAGCAACGGGAACAACATACAGCTAAACCCCAGATCGTCGGCCTTCCGATCCAGCAACACTCGGCTCCCAATGCCAATGCTTTGAAGATATCCGTTCCGGTCCGGATACCTCCATCGATATGTACGCGTATCTTCCCTGCCGCGGCTTCTACGCATTCAGGTAGCGCGTCGATGGTTGGCACGACTTCGTCGAGCTGTCTTCCGCCGTGGTTGCTCACGATCACCCCGTCACAGCCGTATTCTCGGGCAAGAAGGATGTCCTCGGCTGTCAGGACACCTTTGATCCAGATCTGCATGGTCGTGACGGACCGCAGCCACGGGATCTCTTTGGCCCAGCTATGTGCATCTGAGTTTGTGGCGACGAAGCCTGCGTCGTGTGTGACCTGTTGGAGTTGTTCGGACGTGACTCCCATCATGGGCCAGGAGAGGCCCTCTGGTGTGCGGAAGTCGTTGCGGGTTTCGTTGTAGCGGTATCCCAGGACCGGACTGTCAGCTGTCAGAAAGATGGCTTTGCAGCCTGCTGCTTCGGCGCGACGGATGATTTGGGTCTGCAGGGCGCGGTCGCGGAAGGTGTATAGTTGCATGGTGTGTGTCGCTGAAGGGTTGAGTTGTTGGCCGGCTTGGACGACGTCTTCGACTGGGTATGTGCTGAATGAGGAGACGGCCATGGGGATGTTGCGACGTGCGCTGGCTCGACTGCTGGCTAGTTCACCCTGGGGATGTGCCATTGCTTGGATGCCGGTCGGGGAGAGGCCGAGTGGGAAGTCGAAGGTTTGATTGAAGAGGTTGAGTCGCAGATCGAGTTGGGAGACATCGACTAGGACTCGTGGGCGAAGTCGGTATTTCTTGTAGGCGGTCGAGTTCTCTGTTACGGTGATTTGGGTGGTCGAGCCGGAGTTGTAGAATTCTGAGGTTTGGTTAGTGAATTGCAATAAATCTCAAGATAGGAAATGCGAACCTCGCGCTTTAAGGGGGAGTTTCTTCGAACCGGCAATCTTGATGTCCTCGATGCTGAGCATCAATTCGGGCAGGGAGGGAGCCATGGTGGGTGCTGCTGATCTGGTGAAGCTTCTCTCGGTCGGAGACGGGTGATACAGAAGAATTGAGTCGAAGATAGGTTGGGGGAAGTGTTACCCCTCGGTTATGCAGGTGGTTCGTGTCTTATCGAGGGTCGAGCGGGGATACAATGCCGAGTGACTTGTCTCTGCAGCTGCAGGTTGCTAGTCAACCATTGGTGGCTGTGTTTTCGTCCCGCCATTTGGTGTCGCTGATCCCCATTCACAAGTTACTAGTTACTAGTAGTAGCTTGCTTTTCAATTGACCAATCGTGCGCAGGATGTATAGGGTCACTCCTTAGTATAGTAAGCCCTCGGTAGATGGGGATGTGAGGATATCGCGATCGCGCAGAGATGTAGTCGCATGCCGTGTTATTTCCAATGCAATCCCCATGACGGTCGCACTTCGCTGTTCATGATTCTTGTTCTTTGTAAGATGAATGCGACTCCTATAGCCATTCGAGAGCGGTCTCTTCCAACGTTCGGGTCCACCGTCATGGCACCAAGGGTCTGTTGTGTCTGATGTATGACGGATGATGTGCGCTACGACGAAGATAGTTCCTAAACGGGCATAAGTGATTAGTCGAATACTTAGTTGCTGGGATATATCGTCATTAAAGGGAGGACTCACTGAATTCTCGCGTTATCTGGGACAAGCCAAGTAAGTTGCTGTAGTGTGAAGCCTGATATCGGTCTGCAGCAGTAATCCATCGGAGCTGCTTGAGTTGATTGGGTCCAAGGACAAGTAATAACAGTTAGGTCAACAGAGCTATAATAAGCAAGACGTCCTTGTATAGTATCACCGGGATAGGTATTAAAGAGAGTGCTGATTGTCGGGGTGGAATAGGCAACTGCCAGTTGCGGAGTAATGATCAAGGTATGGACTACTCTTCGAAGGGCCTGGCGGTAGAGAAAGTGGAATATGGGGGCAAAGGCACAAGGATGCACTCATATATCTGAGAAGGTGATGCTTCTCTGTGAAGCTCGATGTCTCCTACACTACCTGGTAGACGGGTGTTGATCACGCGGGTTGGGTGTTGAAAGACCACAAATTCAGGCAGCATGTTGGATAGGTTGAAGTGATTTGGATGGCTTCAAAATAGCCTACAATGGAAAGAGAAAAGAATGGGTATACAAGCGTGGTTGTGCGGAAAGGCAGGAACCGTACGGGAAGGAAGGGGAGTGGGAGGGAGCAGGATGAGAACTTGTAATGTGGATGGCTTCATCAAAGACGAAGCGGGTTACTTGCGGCATGTTCACGCTGGAGCTGGTAAACTAAGTAAAGACAAAACCGTTGGTTGCATTGGTAGTAATGGCCTGCTAACAGTACTACTTAGTCTCTCTCCATCACAGTAGGCGTAGCCCTCCTAGTAAGTAGGACATGTGTATAGCCTCACGCGTTCCTCGAAGGAACAAAACACCAAAGCAACATCGAAAAAAAAAAAGATGCCGGTTTAACCCAGTTACTTTCCCTTCAATTAACCTGGTCTTCGTGCTTAGTATCGAGTTGTAGCCGGTAGGCCCTACACTCTTAGACGCACACAATGAAGACTGCCTCAGGAACGGCCTCGATATCACGCCGGTAGGGGCCGGGACTGGGATTCGAACGTGTGCCACTGCGTTTCCTACAACCTTTACGGGAGGTAATGACAGCCTTCTCTTAGGGCGACACTGGGCGGCTCATTGGCGTACCTTGAAGTCCTCCGGCCGTTAGACCATCGGGTTCACTGGGTTAGTGGGGCTTTCCGATCTACAAACATAAGGGAGCGTTGTAAGGATTCGAGGTTGCTGATTGGCTGGCGGTATATGCTAAGGCAGGCGCAGCTGGAAGAAGGCTGGAGGACATATGGGGAAGGAGCAGTGAATTGCGGGAGGTGAGGTCATTGCGGCAGTTGGCAGTTGCGCGGAGGGCGGATAGATAGTGGATATAGCGGATATCAACATCGCGGATGGGGACGGCGGCCGCGGAACTCTTGGCGACCACAACAACTTTTGAGGACGAGGACCAAATCGATCCTGTCATTGTTGGCAATTTGCATGCAGCATTATCGTATCTTGAGCATTGAAGCGCAGGTGAAAGTGTGAGCTGGAATCGTGATGGCCAGGCTATCATGGCTTCAGTTCATCCTCACTTTTTTAATATTCCAATGTTGGACGCAGCTCTATGATCATGTTAGCAAGACGGTCTCTAAATTCTTCATTTCCAGGGTCTTTGGTTCGGAACTATCTATTATTCATATAGACATAATTCCAACTTAGTTACGTATTCTGGGTAACTCGTATATCTTCTGTCAGGTTTGACAGTCGTTGACTGAATATTTTCCCACGGATTATTGTGGGAGACGGCAGTATTTCCCCGCTTCCTGACAGGCCAGGCGGTGAGACTGACCCACCTAAGCGATGCCCCGTCCATCTCTATAGTACAATCATCACCATCACAGCTAGGTGTACCATGGAACTTCTTAACACAAATAAACAAATGCTTCGTTGCATAGAAGAGATGTCGCTGTTAGTTATCTCTGATCTAGACGGGCATCATTATGTCTTTGTTTTCGCTCATGGCAGAAACTTTCAACCCCCTCTTTTCATTGACGGGTGATCAAGCAGTCTACCGGGACTGCCGTTCTAAAGTCTACGATGGTTACTCTGCAAATCCATGCTGCCAAGGCGATTATCAGCTATTAGTGGAGATCATCTCAACGGAGTGCGCAATCTCATCTACTTTACCGTCAGTTCGTGATCGTTCCATATGAATTTCAGGTATATTCACGTACCCCTCATCCCGTTGAGTGCCTCAAACGCAATCGCATAGTTCCCCAAAGCCTTTGAGACCTGCCGCAGGCTCTGTCGCAGCTCATCCAGGAACCCGCCTAGAGATCGACTGCTTAAGGTCGTCAAGTCATTCCCCACTGGCTCACGCATCGCCCGGGCCTTCAAACACAGCATGATCATCGCATAGCTTGACTGCATGGCACAACAGGCGAAGGTCGGCATCATCCGTGGTATCTCCACCCGGGAATTGCGTGAAAGATAAGGTGGACGAGTCAACGGGATCTCATTTGTTGGATTTGGATACGGCAGGCTGTCCAGAAGGCTGACAATATTTAATGCTGCATGAAGGCAGATTTTCGAGGACGCGTGTGCGGAAAAGGGAAAGTCAATAGCTGCGGGCTCGGAAAGCACGGAGGATAGGAAGCTGTCTGGTGAGGATGTAGGTGGTCTGGAATCTTCGGCGGCCTGCACACGACAGCATCTGGGCCCTGCAGCTGCATCCAGGTCGCAATGGCGCTTGCGAAAGACGGGGATATCTTGGAAAGCGCAAAATCGGTGGGTCTTGATCCTAGCGCTGCAAGGAGTCAGTCATGGTTGTTACAAGAAGAACATGCAGGCATCTACCTGTGTAGCTTGATCTCAGCAATGTGTCTTATCGTATGCAGGGCAACGACGTCCGGTGAGTCCTGGCTTGTGGCAGGCGACTTTTTGGTTGAGTCGTGGATAGACACGCGACATGGATGCAGCAGACATGTTATCTGGTTGTCCAGCTCTGTCATCCGCTGGGGAACCCAGGAGGCATTGAAGTGAGACTTCGTGGTTAGATCCAAATCGTGAACAAAAGTTGTGGCTTCGAGAATGGTCTGCTGGGCTTCGATGAGCAGTTTCCATCCCTGGTACACGTCAGACTCTGTCCGTCCACACGAAAGAGAAGCTCACCTCTGGGATTGGCGTTACAAATCGAGGATCATACGGATTGATTGCAGGGGGCTATATCCGTGAGCTGAATATGTCCAAGAACTGGAGCGCTACTACATACCATCCCGCTAACAATGGATCCCTGGCAGACCGTCAAATACTTCATGATGTTAGCGTAGCTCGTCTGTCAAAATCTAGGCAATACTGACCGTGATCCACCAAGCTCTTCGACGGGCCTCGGAGTATTCATCCTCGTCGACCATCTCGTGTAGCGACATACTCATGGCGGCTGTCAATGCTTGCCCCGCTCGATTACACATCTTATTTATGTTCCCCCTTTGAGCATACTCATATACGCTCAGCAGCACCAATGCTAGGACCGCTTCCAGACAAACCGGCACTTTGCTATGAAATCCCCTCCGCTGATACTGGGGTGCACCGTCAGATAGAGCTTTCGATGGATCAATTGAAGAGTCGAGCAGCTCAAGGTCAGTCTCCACAGCTTCTAGTGCAGACTGTGCGAAGGAATGGGCGAGGTCTCGGCGCAGCTTCACATACTCCGACCGTGAAGGTTGTTTCACCTCAGGATGCGGTATAAGGGCGAGAATGGCTGATATGGCTAGGCTAAGCGGGCTAGAGGGTCGAAAAGGCGACCTTTCGGATAGAGGACGATTGTAAACCGGCACCCGTTCTGGAGGAGGCAATATCGGATAGTAGAGGTGAATGAAGACATAGTAGGCGTCCAGTCTGTACTGATCAGAACAGTTCGGTGGAATGCCGGGTTGAATCTTACATATCCTCGTCACTCGCATACGTCTGCAATAAATCTGGTGGAGGAACGGTTGGTTCTGGTACCATGGGCGGTTCATCTACCATGAATATTGAATCGAATATCTGTTCCATTTCTGTGACGGAGCTTTCGACACTGCGCAGTCCTGCGCCTGGGGCGCCTAGACTCAAGAGCTGGTTGAACCAGCCTAGGGTATCATCAGCTTAAGGTCTCTCCAATACCGCGATAGCTGCATGAGCTGTATACCATCGTCATCCGAGCTCGACGGCGGACCCTCGACTATAGGGCTGCCTTTCTTCTGGGTTTGATATCCTTCATCCGGCGCATCGGAGACGGTTGTCGGGGGGGTTGATGCCCGTTTGCGCTTGCGATTCTGACAGTTTCGTGGACCTCCGCGTTTACTAGGGACATAGCAGCAGATTGTGTCCTTGGCGACACAGTTGGAGCATCGTTCCTGACCGTCGCAACGCACCCGCAACGTCCGACTGTCGGGAACTGTGAGCGCTTGTGATCATGCGAACATTATTGGAGGCAGAACCTACCAGGATAGGCAGGCGACCTTGACGGGGGGCTTGCAAAACCTGCGATGCCCTGGACGAGAGACATCGAGGAATGTCTTGGGAGAGCCCATTGTACAGGAATAAGCGATCTAGCTAATTACTAGTGGTAATCGGTCTTTCAGATCCGAGGGGAAGGTGTTCATCGAGGCCACAACCGATTTATGCAAAACCCGGTGGCGCAAATCCCGGGCACAGCAAACCCCGGTTTGATCGCCACGAACCCGCGGTCGGCTCCTGTTCCCACTTACTGCCTTTCCACTGTATCGAGATCCAGTGCGGAGATCGTATGATCCATTATGGGGCAATAAGTAGAGCTCTCTGACCCGTGCATGATTGGTGTCATGCTCAACCTGACTCGCACGAGTCCAAGCAAATCCCGACAGCGAATCCCTGCCAACCTTTTCCCTTCTGCCGACTTTGCGGGGCGAACGTTACTCGGGGCTTTTATGACTATGCACGTAATCTCGACTAGCCTTTTTCATTTGCTGCAACAATAAGGGCAACACGCACACACCCAGCACCACGATGAATGCGAGAAGAACGAAGAATGAGTGTGTCCGCGGCTAGCTGTATGACCGTATGAAACTCTCCGAGTGGTCGCCCCAAACCGGTTTTTGCAATCGACTGCAGAGCCAAAAAGCCCGTGCGCCACTGTCCACAATGTCGTTGTCTACAGCGGTCAGCGTGTCGGTGTTGTATACCTACGAATTCTACTATGATCAACAACAATATTATATCGATATCCAACGAAGAAAGTCGAAAGAAGGAGACAGCTAAGAGGAAGGCTCTCTATACGTTGTCTACCCGAATAAGAAGAAATCCTGATAAAACAAATGTGTGCTTTCTTTCAAATAACTCTAATGTACAAGTCGAACTTCAATCAATATCTCGCCTTGAGAACCTATCGGATTTGACACGGGACGACGGAGTGGAGAGGAGCAAGGCCGATGTTCATTAAGCCAACGCAGCCGGAGTGACTTTAGTTCTCCGATTCTCCAGTGTTCGCAATGTCCAAGGGAGTCGAGAGTCCAACTCGGTCGACAGTTCGGGTATACTCAACTCCTCCATTCACGCGGTCTTCCCGAACTACCAGGTCCTTGCGGTTGGTGTCGACCAGCAAGCGGATGAGGTCGGGACGCATGTAGTGGCCGCCCTGAGTGGGACAGTTAGTAAGGTGGAAAGAATGCTCTGAATGGATCACTTACAAAGTCAGCTAGGGATTTGGAGAGATGGCATTCATCCAAGTCGATCTGTAAATGTGTGAGCATTCCGCAAGCCAGCCAAAAACAAAGGGGAAAACCCACGTCAACAAACAGGAGTCCCTCGAAGTCCTTGTCAGGGTGAGGGACAAGGTTCTGGCCATCGGGACCGAAAATGCGACCGTGACCGTTATAGATGTGAGGGTCTTCGAGATCCTTGCCAGGCGGAGTGTTCAACTTGATACCTTCGGCGGTAATCGTTTGCCAGGGCGCCAAGGTGTACGTGCCGGTTTCGATGGCATAGGCCGGAGTGACAAGCTGCGCGGTCTTCATCAGCCCTCAGACATCAAAGCAAAGAAGGTTTTTCAGAGGAAAACTTACGTCCGCATTAGCCTCGGCCACGTTGGTGAAGGGATCCGGGTACTTCAAGGTCTCTTTGCCAGGGTAGAGTGGCCAGGCAGCAACGTGGACCTGTTCGCCCAGAGAGGCGGCATACGACTTCATGAAGGGGTTCATGTTCTCCCAGCAGTTGAGGTGGCCGACGCGGCCGATGTCAGTCTGGATGACCGACTCGGTGGTGTCACCGGTGCCGTCGCCGAACACCAAGCGCTCGACATGAGTGGCTCGGATCTTGCGGCGGTGGTTGAGGATATCGCCAGACGGGGAGATCATGACCTGGGTGGTGTACAGACTAGCCAAATCCACCTCAGAGTATCCCAAAGACACATAGATCTTGTTGGCGCGGGCTGCGTTGCGGATCCGGCGCATCTCGTCCGAGTCGGACGGAAGGCTGTTCTCGCGGTACTTCTTCAGAAGAGGCAGGCTCTCCTGGTAGTTCACCTTCCACATCCAGTAGGGATATCCAGGAATCCCTATTCCGGCATTAGCTGAGATTCTTCGAGGGATTCAGGATGGAAGTCCTTACAAAGCTCGGGGAAGGCAATGAACTTGCATCCGGCCTTGCCAGCCTCGTCAATCCAATGGATAGTCCGGCGAACCGACTCCTCCAGGTTGAACCAGCCAGGCTCAGCATTGACTGCTGCGGCCTTGTACTTCTTCAGGACGGGAGCCATTGTTTAATGAGGAAAAGTGGTTTTGGAGGTAGAAAGATGCTGTTGGGACGAGTGATTCTGTTGTGGATGATAGGAGTAACTTCGATGAGAAGTTGCCTCCCTTATATGTTCGACAGTCGCATCGTGAAACGTCTCTAACAGCGATTCTCGCATCGTCCTGATCATTTGATTCGGGAGTCACGGAGCACGGTGTCTGCTTTCTTACTCCCAACGTTGTTTGGAGTCAAGAAAGTGCACACAAGGCACAGCTTGAAACATCGTCCCATCGTGCCGGGATTTGGCACGCTGATAAGGTGGGCTTGAGCGTTGCATTAGTGGAGGATTCGTGAGGAGTACTGCATAAGGCGACAAACCAAACCTTTCATAACCTCCGATGATAGCAGGACTCAAGCTGCGGGCCAAGCAAGTGGGTTCGCGGAAAATAGCTCCTAACGGTTGATCTGCCATGTCCCCCAGATCCCGTTAACATGACGTCTCGGATGAGAACGGAACCTGGGATCTGATAGCGCATGTTCGCCTCATGTCCGGGATAAGCTCGGTTTTCAGATAGCCCATGCGGGGATGGCCCACCGATGTTACAACGTAGCAGCAAACCCCGGGCCGCTGCGTGGAGACCTGCAAAGTCCAAACTTGATCACGCCACATTGATTGCAGATCTACTTTCTGGGAGAGCTTGACGATGACTTCTTGGCTATATGAGTTACAGTGGAGTACTTACACGGAAATATTGTGAAGGGATGAGGCCACTCCGGGTCACTGAATGCTGGTGAAATTCATGCTACAGACTATTGGCTGTGTGGCTTGCAATCCCGAATTATTGCAATTGAGCAATTTCTGTCAGCGTGTCTTGACTCTTACCTCATGCAGCTGGTACCTCAAAGTGAGCTTAGAACCTTTACGGAGGGCATATACTACTACCGACCATGGCCTTGCAGAGCTTGGCGCATCTTACACTCGATGTATAGTTTGTCTAACAGCTTATACATGCACCCCGAGCGCAAATACACAAATGAGTGGGCTCTTCTCCATGATCAACTCCTCTACACACGATCCCCAAGTTGATATATCAATGATCGCAGTTGTCTCGACGAACGAGGTCTTTGATCTCACTAGCTGTTGGAAACTTGCTACAGACAGGTGCTTCAGTTAATTCTTGCTGTCTACTAGTCTTTTCCATCTCTTGCATCGAACGAGTGAACCTTGATCAGATCTTGGATCTTTCTGAAGATACACCGGTTTACGCCGGCGGAGCCAGAATTGATGTTATCCCAATCAGGTATATGTCTATCAGCCCGGATTAGGTCGAGGAGCTTATAGGAAGGAATTCTCGGGCTGAAAATGATGCTAACTAAAGGACAAGGAGATGAAGCCTTCTATAAGCGTAATTCTCCCCATCGCCGGTTGCTGGGGGGGACAAAAAGCCGTGGGTGTCCCCAGAATTTTTAAAACTTTCTCCATACCAAGACAGGTCTATTGAGTCTAAACAAGTTATGTATGCGTCTAAGCAGTCTTCCTTTCAGATCTTGGATATAGACTTCTTTCTACCCATCACCTCAATCAACTGACTAAGCTCGGGGGTGCAGACCCTCCAGAAAGATAAAGAAAAGGGGGTCTCTGCAGGAGATTTCCCACAAGATTCTAACTTGTGAACAGTCACTGACTCTAATCAGATCATTAGACATGGCACCACTTCATAGCTTCTCGTCCGATGGCAACGAGGGTGTACATTGGCGACATAATGAGGCTCTGCGTCCGCCAAAGCTATACTTAGTCGGTGAATATCGCGCTTACAGCGCTTACCCACTACATTACCTGGCTTACCAATGTTTTCCTTTGTCTGTTGTTCTATCTGAGCTTTATAAATCGATTCAGGCAGTGCTACGCTTCAGCCAACTAGCCGACAAGTACAGGATGCCTCGGAAAGGAGCAGGAAAATACTGGTATTACCTGGCAGGAACATCCGCATAATATGCTATGGAAAATCCCCAGATTGTGTGGAGGGCTACACACACACACCACTCATGCGCTTGATGTGGGCGCTTCGCCTGGCAAAATACTGTTTTTAAGCATCCGTCAACTGGCAGGTGGGTACTTAGTCTTGCAAGTTGGAAGTTACGATAAGCTGAGCTTCCACACTTGGGTACTGAGTAAACCCAGCCGCAAGTTCGAGAATTCTTTTCAAGTTACAAACTCGCAGGTTATTTTAGTTGGGTGATTTGGTTAAAGTAATAAGTGAAGCTGGTGGTTTACGTTAGGTTATTAAGGCTAGTCACGAGGACAATGGTTACTCTCTCAGTCACAATGCATGATTCAATTGATTACAGTATCATCTAAGGATACTTGTTTTCCTTCCTGTTTCCTTGCAGCATATTTGAATTCTGTGCATCTCTCCCCCTACTGCAGTCCACAGCATGTCCCATCCTTCCACGCACGCAAGACAGCACATCACAAATATAAACCATGAATGGATGTAATAATAAAGAACGTCCCCCACCTAGCTTCTATGAAAAAGCTAATCAAGAGTAGTCATGTTGTTCGACAATCCCGTGCAGTTAATCGGCAGGTTGATGGGAGGGAACATGCCCTCAGGGGAGAAAGCCAGACTGCTGTAGTTGTACGTCGGGCTCATCATCATGATCTGGCCCACGGTAGTGCCGTACTTGTCTGCAAGGTCCTTGTACACACCCCATTTGAAGACGTAAGGCTGAATGACACACTGGCTAGGATCGCACTGAGGCACCTTGATAAACTGGCCAACATCCAACTCCGCCGTCGGGGAGATAGGATTGACGAGCGTCTCGTTTGAAGGCCCATCCACGTGCATCAACGATTCCACTGTGATGTTGAGTCGGCGGGCAATCACTTCGTAGGTATCTCCTCGAACAGTGTAGTAGAGACGAGGGCCGCCGTAGATACAGGTGCGTGTAGCATTGATGTTTGGCAAGAGACAGGATGTATTGTCTGGCTCGCACACCTCGGGAGGGATGATGAAGTACTCGCCCACATTGGGAACGATGGTTACATCCGCCATGAGGTTTTGGCGGCCGATGTCACAGACACCGCGGTTGGTGGCGCGCGCAACGTCAAAGACTGTTGTGCCATCCACTGTAATATAATAATTATAAGTGGTCGTGTTCAGGGCTGTTGTGTTGCAAGATGCTGCTGCAACAGCCACTGATGTAAGCGAGAGCGCCAAAAGCGATTGTTTGAATGCCTTCATCTTGGCCGGGTATGTGGAGGATTGAATTAGGAAATGAGGGACGCAGAGAAAGAGAGACAGATGCTGAGAATAAATGATGTCGCTGGATGACCTCAATGGCAAGGAGCGGACATGTTGCTTCTTATATAGCTCAGGAACCAGGAACTCGGACACGGCTGCTCGGAGGTAAGGATCTACGGATGCTGCGTCGTTGGGCAATCACTTCTCCGACTCATAACGAAGAGATTGGGTTGCGCGGCTTCTATCCGTCTCTCTGCGGCACAGAGACGGTTCTCTGTTGATTTTACTCGCTAGGAAGTCCGCCGGACTGATCATCTGTGGAGCCGAGGTCTCAATCTCTTCTGCAATGTAGATGATTTCCTTATCAACTAGATGCTGATGAGTGTCTGTCTTCTCAGTGGACAATACCTCTTGACACCCCACATGGGACCTTTTTTCCTTGCGACCTCAGGAGCCAGGGACCGCATATCATCACCCAAACGAGCGATGCTCCGACCTCTGAAATTAACCCATCACTTGCCATAGGTGGACTTGACCTGTTATTTCCCGCTGGTGTTATTGGGCCCTCATTGCGGACGCTATGGAGATGCTGTGGGGGTGGGGAGCGGTGGATCTTGGTAAAGACGGAGTCTGCAGCGACGCACAGATAACTGATCTGAGGCCCCTTGCTCATGCTCGGACCTCCGAATGTTGATTTCAAATCTATTATGATGCGTAGAAGAGTACGCATGAGAAGGAGAAGCGGATCTCGGAGCTAACTACTTGGGTGAAATGCGATGTCAGAGAGGAGGGACTGATTTGGTGGCGTATGGTTATGGTATTGTATGGAGCACATTGCGGTAACTGTCTCACCCTCTTGGTCAGAGTCTTCTTTTCAGCACGGGAGACCTGGAAATTAAGGTTGTTTAGCCACATCTTCCGAACTAGACTATAAATCCCAGCAAACCTGGGGAAGCCGTGAATATGAGCCACTGATCGCCTTGCCAAGTTCTAGTAGTGGACTCGGGTTACTCAATTCTTATCATTAATTCGATATCGACAGGCAGTAATAAAGCTGGGCAAGTTGTTGCCTGGTCAGAATCTGCCTCTTTTTTTTGTTGCTGGTACCTGATGTTGGGACGCCGATATTGCGCTTACCCGATTGGGGTCGGGTTTGCGAAAGCTCCACCGGCCACACATCTGCTTGACGGGCCGTGCATGAGTTTGTCTAAACACCCCAACAAAGCAAATAATCGGCATTATGTTTGCGGACGGGCTATATGGTATCCGCTAGTGGGGATCGGTGAGGGGAGGGGGTTTCTCTTTACTGACTGCATTGTTTCTCCGTATATGCCGCCTCTGCATAATGACCATGTCTCACCTACGGTGTTAGAACTGCAAGCCTCCACGATGTTTTTGCGGGCATGTCTTTCGGATAGCGTATATGCACTTGGAGGTAGCGAGTGATATGTGGTAGTCGCTCGGCTATCGATGCTCAGACCGGTTGAATACATTCATGAATTGTCTGGCTCGACCTGCAGCTACAACGTCCTTGTTCCGGTGGCACCTATGCAACGTATCATTGTGAATTTCAATCGGGCTCCGAGACTTTATTAGGGGTTAACAAGCAATATTGAGGCGTTCATGCGAGTTCTTTACTCCATATGTCATGTACATGCCGCGTTCTTTACCTGCATAACTTCCGTGTCCGTCTGCCCGACGTCCTGCACACGATTGAGATTATTCTCCGCATCCTTTGCCCGTCATTTCTGCCAGGATATAGGCCACTAACTTGCGTTTTCCGTGTTACCCTCGTATTTATGCAGCGGATGGCCGGAGATGCTTCCAGAGTCCATGAACTGCATGCATGTCCACCTGTCAGCAACCAGTAATAGCGACGCAAAAGGAATCACCAAATTGAACATGCCGGTATTTTTGGGCTATGCCCCATCAGATGACCCAGCCGATAATTGTTGTAGCGTTTCGTTATCACCGCGGTTGGGTAGCTTGGTGTATTGCGAGGCGTCTTGTAGACTCGACCTAACGCCTGTTAGTGCTGGGCGGGTGCAGTAGTGTGGGTGTATGTATCTTAGGCGATTTCACTCCAAGCTTTGCTGCATGAATTCAGCTAGTGTGCCTGCATACACCACGAGCGTCCACCTGCAGGTGAAGGATTGTACGGCATCAAAGTAAGTTAGTTTGATACAGTCAGGTCCGATTATTATTCGAACTAAGAGGAGAGTGACGCGTCCATGCAGGTCGATTCCCACACGCAGTACTTGGATATGTCATCTGCTCTACTAGCTTTTTACCCGGAAGTGGAAGGTACACCATGTGCCCCTGGGGGAAGGAACTTCGCAGTGATAGTACCACATGACCGCCTAGTTTGGATATGATGGACGAAGTACCCGGTCTTCCGGTGCCCAGTTATGGGGGAATAATAGCTCATTCTGCGACTTTGAACATATTTCTACTGGCCATGTATAGTTAGTTGAACTAAAAGGATATGGTAATATGGGTACTTGCCATTTATCGAGGTAATATACACGAATGAGGTCGTAGTGCTCAAACTCTAATATTGCGGGAGATATATATATTTTCATTAGAAAGAACACCAGTGGTGCTCGGTATGTTTGGACTGCTACATAAAGCTAAAGATCGAGACGAGAGATTTGGTCAATTATGACTGAAAATAACCACATTATGATTGGAATTAGCTCGCTAATCCAAATCCTGCAATGACAAGTCTGGGGATTCATGTTGCAGATATCAAAACCGACAGTTGGAGACGAGAATGCGAGAATCAGCTGAAAACTTATAGTTCCAAAAACCTCGTCAGATATACAACAAGATCCGATATGGTGTAGTGGCTAACATCGCCGTCTCTCACACGGCAGCCGGGGGTTCGATTCCCCCTATCGGAGCTCAACAACAATTTCTTTTTTTCCGCATTCGCCTCATTGTCCCCGCTACGGGTGTGGGACTCACTGTTTTTCTTTTTCTCTTGCTGTTTGAAATTCCTTGCACATTTCCTTAAACTTCAAAGCCTCCTCCAGTAAGAGCTACGACAATACTGTATGATAAGTAGAAGCCGGTTATCCCCCTCGCTGGTTCGAAAGCCCACTGCCGAGAGTGTTCTTGGCTTCCCAGACAGCGGCGGGTTGCCCCAAATTGGGGAACGACGGATTGATTGGTAAGATGATGTCAATCCCTCGGCAATCCTCGAGCTGCTATCTATACCCGACCATTTCCCATTCATATAGTAGTATGCAGAAGAAATCAGACCCTTGACCAGTCAACATGGCACCGAGCACGATGAAAGCAATTCAAATCCAACAGTTTAATGAGCCGTATCATGTATCCGAAGTGGCCGTTCCTCAACCAAAGCCACATCAAGTATTAGTGTGCGTCAAGGCTGCTGGTTTCTGTCATACCGATTTGATGGCTCTAAACAATGAATTTGGAACCCAATTACCCTTTATCGGATCCCATGAGCCGGCGGGGATAATAGAGGAAGTTGGTTCTCGAGTCACGGAGTTTCAGAAAGGCGACCGTGTCGGCTGCATCAACTTTGATAGTGTTTGTGGTAAGTACGGCTGGGGGTTGTAAATGTTGTCGTCTCGTGGCAGTCATGTTAAGTCGGCCTTGATTGGGGTGGAATGTAGGAAAATGTCCGGACTGTAAAGCTGGTCGTCCTATCTACTGCGATGCCCCGATGATGAAGGGCATCACTGCTGATGGAGCCTGGGCCGAATACATGGTCGCGTGAGTAGTGCTACTTGAGTCTCCCAAGATGAGTATCTTCGTGTCTAACCTTATACATAGAGATGCTCGATTCATGATAAAACTACCTGATGATATGGAATTTAAAGTGGCAGCACCTCTGATGTGCGCCGGGATTAGCATCTATGGCGGCATAGTTCGAGCCAACGTGCCCCAAGGCGGCTCGATTGGCATTGTTGGGATTGGTGGACTGGGCCATATCGGTACCCAAGTTGCCAAGTGCATGGTAAGAAAGAAAGTTGGAAGCCAGGTTAGAGAGATACAGATGATAACGACCATGAGCAGGGCTACAAGGTCGCGGCAATCGATGTAAAGCAGTCAGCTCTGGATGCAGTGGCATCCTACGAACACAAGCCCGATGTATCCATTCTGGCCACAGACCCAGTGGAAAAGTCCCAGGAAAAGATTAACAAGGCTGTCCCTGGCGACTATCCAGGACTCGATGCGACCGTGCTAGCCACAGATCATCCATCGGCCTTTGAATTAGCGGCTGCTCTTACGCGGAAGCACGGTAAGATGGTCTTGCTTGGTCAGCCTGAAAAGGGGATCACCATGTCATATCAGACGACTATCTACAAAGATATCACGTTGGTGGGCTCCTTGATCGCGGACACAGCTGATGCGCAGGCGTTCATCCAGTTGTTCCACGAAAACAAGCTGCACGTGGAAGTCAAGGAGTGGAAGCTGGAGCAGGCAGAGCAGATGAGGCAGGAATATTTAGCCGGAAAGTCGAATGGCAAGAATGTCATTGTCATCGATTGAAGAGTCTGAGTTTAAAATGCAGAGTCTCGCTGGAAGATACTAACCTGAACGCCAATCTAGCTTCCTCCTGTTTTCCAGTCGCCGTGGGGCAAAGCATATTAGCTGACAGGATGGCGTCGGATGTGAGGAAGTAGCGGATGCTTAAAATAGCCACCACTACTACTATTATTTGTTGGGAGGAGACTCAGATCGTGACGTTCCTGTCAATATTTTAGAAATAGGGTCCCAAAAGTATCGAGACGAAAGGCATGCATATGTATCATGGAAACCCATCATCAGCGATTCCATTGATGGATTCAACCGTGGCGAGAACTACAAGATACAGTACGCTATTCTGAGATGTGCCTCTACTCAGTGCTTCTCCCTAGCAATAAGAATTCGGCCAAAAAGTCCCGTCCCCTTAGGAAGGGGCACTGCAATATGCCCCTGGACGGATGCTGCACGCACTATCAACACACTAATCGGTAGGAGCATCCGACTGGAAGCTCCAGGGGAGCAGCTACTTTGCCCCAGTGGACTTGTATGCCATTAGGGAGTCTTAGACCCACGACTGATACAGAACTCGACTCCTTGGTCATGCCCAATAGACTGTTTCGTCAAGACTAACAGATAGTAGTATAGGCCTTTATCACATCGACATGATGGTGCCATTGCATCGACGATAGGCGAATGACACCATATTCAATCAATGATATGAAGAGTCGTCATGCGACAACTAAGGATCATCTTTCACCAATGCTGCTCCTCCTGGCAGACTTGTACAAATCCTCTCGGCTGCATTAACGGCGGGCCCATTTTTAACGGGACTCTTGGTGAGCCTTTTTCTTTGCATAACTTAGCTTTGACCACCCAGGGGCTTCAGCATTCAGTTCGTGAAGAACAAGAAAGGCGCTAAAGGGATATTATTGCTAAAAAAGGATTCCATTAGCAGGGCCGGTGGAGGCGCGTCGGTGTGCCAGAGGGAGACCAACGATACCGGCAATCTCGGCGGATCTTCTTGCTGGGGAAAACGGCCGAGTCCACCTTGCACACCGGGCCCAATTATTCCTGCTATCAGCACCATTCATTGTGTCTTCATGGCTGGATGGGCGTTGGTGAGTGGTCGATGCTGAGGGCTGGCTCGGTCGGAGCGCCAAAGAGTAAAAGTGGGCGGGAGTGGCACCCACTTTTAATTTGAAACACCACGGCCTTGAATAAGATTGTCCAGGAACACCACCAGGGGCCCAGGACAGCCGATTTAATCAATGACAGAACGATGAGTGTCGCACTACCCTGCTCGGAAGCAAGCTCGATTGGATGCTAGATGGAGCATCGTACCAGAGCACAGCTGCTGTTCACCTTCATATAAGGACGGTCGCGGAACCTGGTTCCTGCACAGCAACCTACGCTCTTTTCCCGAATATTTCCGGCGCCTGCTAAATAATTATTGTCACTCCCTTAAACTACTTCATCATGGTCGCCTACTCGTCTCTTCTCCTCGCTCTTTCGGCTGCCTCGAGCGCCGTCGCTCTCCCCAATGGCAAGGCCCTGCTGGACATGGCCAAGCGCAGTCTTACTTCTTCCGCGGAAGGCGAGAGCAACGGCTACTTCTACTCCTTCTGGACCAACGGTGAGGGCGACGTGACCTACACCAACGGCGACGCTGGTGAATACACCGTTGAGTGGACCGACTGTGGTGACTTTGTGGCCGGCAAGGGTTGGAACCCGGGCAGTGCTCAGTAAGGATTTTTCCATCGCTGTTTATCGAATAAAGATGGGTGTTAACCGGTATATTCAGGGCCGTTACCTACAGCGGATCATGGGAAACCGACGCCAACGCCTACCTGTCCGTCTACGGTTGGACCACCTCCCCCTTGGTCGAATTTTATATCGTCGACAAGTACGGTGATTACGACCCCTCCTCTGGCCTGACCGAGCTCGGCACCGTCGACAGCGACGACGGAACCTACAAGATCTACCAGACCACCCGTGAGGACGCCGACTCGATCGAAGGCACTGCCACCTTCAAGCAGTACTGGTCCGTGCGCACTGAGGGCCGTATTGGTGGAACCGTCACCACGCAGAACCACTTCGATGCCTGGGAGAACCTTGGTCTGGAGCTGGGTACCTTCAACTACATGATCGTTGCCACCGAGGGATACGAGAGCAGCGGGTCTGCCACCATCACCGTTGAGACTTCTTCTGACAGCACCGAGGAGAGCTGCTAAGCGCTCTTTTGAAGTGACTGCTTTACTCCTTCTGTATATAATCAGTCCCCATCGGGTTTCACTTCTTGACCGAACTCATAATCTCATTGTCACATCTGGGTGGGGACGACTAGGCCGCGACATTGTTCTTCAACATTTGTTTTCGTATTATTTTACCCGCTATAGGCATTCATAGATTACACCTTCCTTGTAGCGGCTGTAACCGTCGCAGTGGGAGTGACACGAGCAGCAGCTACAGATGATCATGCTGAAGTTGCTCCAAGCACGCTACTGAATAGCTCTTCTGGCGTTCGGCAATACTACTGTCATGGACCACCGTAAGTGTCAGGCCGGACCGGATCAAGAAAGTGGAGCATGATTGTATGTGCTTAATGTCACGGAGCAGGTCCGAGTGCTATACTATTCATTCTCTTGATATTTAGAGCTTAAGATCCCCAGGCTCCTCTGGTTGCCGATTCTGAACCCCGAGGGCCTGAAGACTTACTGGCGCCATTGTGGACAGCCATTCTAAAAGGGTAAACCAAACCTACCATTCGAGGACAACAACAACCTCGCTAATAGCCAGCCAAACTACCACTGCTGTTTTATACCATCTCTTTGCGCGGGTTTGAACTCTACGCATGAGAAGCCACTGTCTTCATAGAACAAAGCAACTACGCGGCCCCTGACTACTGGCTCCTGCTGCTTCTTTAGGGCACGATTATCTCCAAGATATCTCTCGACCCGTTCCTGCGGTATTCCATGGTTGATAGCTCTAATTCTTGAATACCGGTACCATCTCCCGGTTGGAGTCATGACGTCCAGCGGTGAACCCTTTCAGACAGCTCCGATTAGTCAGGGATGCTTTTTCCCACGGGGTACCCCGCAATTCGGCACGATGATCCCCCGACCTCCCCTATCCACCAGAGCCAATCAAGACCCGGCCAGCCATCGGCAAGTGTGTGCCCAGCCGGACAAGACGTGTCCTGCTCGGGATAATCTATGGCGAGCGCTGGCAGCTGGACTGCAGGGGCTTCCGTCGTGGCTTCGGGTGTATTAGACCGACTGTCGTCCAGCAAGATCTAAATGCTTAATTGAGCTTGTCCTGTCCTTCTCTCATCCCCTTTTTGTCCAGTCCCAATCCATCGGGGTATGTACTAGATCATCCTCGAACGGCCAAGATGCGTCTTTGGAAACATGACTTTCGGGGCAGGGCCCTGATCATCGCCATCACCATGGCCTCCTGTCAAGCCTTCCTCTTGCTGGGGTTTGACCAAGGTTGGTAGTTTTCTTCACGGTCTCCCGGGATAGAGGATGATGATGGCTGACAAGACGGGAATGATAGGTGTCATGTCCGGCATTGTGGGTGCGGATAATCGCTTCGCCCGCGACTTCAATAACCCCGACGCGGCGATGCAGGGCAACATTACCGGTCTCTACGATATCGGTTGCGTGATCGGATCCATCATTTGCTACTTCATCGGCGAGCGAATGGGTCGTCGAACCATGCTGATGATGGGCGGGTTCATCATGATCATCGGAACCGTCATCCTCGCTTCCTCCTACACAATAGCACAGCTGCTGGTCGGCCGAATCGTTACCGGGCTGGGTAACGGAATGAACTCCTCCACCGCCCCCGTCTATCAGAGTGAATGTTCTCCAGCAGCATACCGTGGTGCACTCCTCACCCTTCAAGGAACCGTCACTATCCTGGGCGTGGTGATCGCCTACTGGTGAGTTCGACCCATGTTACCACACATTTACCGATGTACTAACGGAGCAATTCTCCATAGGATGGACTACGGCACCAGCTTTACTGATTCCTCCTACGAATGGCGGCTTCCCCTCGCCTTTCAGGCTGTCTTCGCCATCTGTCTCATCTTGCAGGTGGTCGGTCTCCCAGAAACCCCCCGTTGGCTGGTCCAGCACGACCGTCATGAGGAAGCCCGCGCTGTCGTGGCTGCCATCGAAGACACCACTATCGATGATCCCAACGTCACCAAAACCATCATGGACATCCAATTCGTGCTGGAGGAGGAACAAAAGGACGGTCCGTTCCGCGTCAAGGAGCTCTTTACCTGGGGCGAAGTGCAGAACCTCCGACGTCTATTCATCACCATCACCATTGAGCTGGGCCAACAATTCACGGGATCAAATATGATAAATTATTACGGGCCGGTGATGTTCCAGGAGACCATGAATATGAGCCGCAACTTGTCACTGATCCTGGGTGGGGCCATGCAGTGTACCTACCTGGTGGGTTCGGCAATCCCGGTGTTCTTGATGGACCGGTATGGACGGCGTACCTTACTAATGGTGTGCTCGGCCGGCTTATGCCTGTGCTTCGTGATGGTGTCGATTCTGCTCTCCCTGGACCGCGAGGACTGTGCCTACGGCGCGACCGTCTTCATCTTCATCTTCCAGATCTTCTACGGCGTGGGCTGGCTGCCCGTCCCATGGTTCTACCCAGCCGAGCTGAACACAACGCGGGTTCGGACGCGGATGCAGGCCATCGCGTCCGGATGGAACTGGATGGCCGTGTTTGCCGTGGTGAAGATCACTCCAATTGCATTTGGTGGGTTTTGCTGCGCTTGATGAATCAGGAAGAATGACATACTGACATATGATGTATAGACAACATCGGCTGGCGCACCTTTGTCATCTTCGCGGTATTGAACGCCGTATTTATCCCGATGGTGTACTTCTTTTACCCGGAGACGAAGGGACTCGAGCTCGAGGACATCCCCTTGCTTTTCCACAAGGGTGGAATCACCGGAGGAGTCTTCACCTCGAAGGGTGGACGCACCGTCACACCCGGCCAGCACGCGCTGGAAGCCCGCGTGGACCAAAAGGTCGAGGGCACGGTACAGCAAGTGGAGCATATCGGATGAACTGCGTAGCAGTAGCTGTTTTGCTTTCTAGATCTCGGTATTATAATGTTAGACTTGTCTACAATGAACGAATGAATCATGTCATCATTTCTCCATATTGTTAAGTCATACAGTTGGCTGCTATCGTAGAGTTGAAAACGAACGACATAAAGATCGGCACCAGCGATCGACAGGAGTACACATAATTAGAAAAGCACCACTCACCAATTTTACCACACGCAACACACAACACGGCGTATTATGCAATCTGTCTCACCTTACCCGAAATGACCAGCATAAACACATTCTCAGTCATAAATCATAACCAGAACCATAACCATAGCCATGAGAACTATACCCATACCCCATCCGTAAGCCTATAATAAGATGATCGACCCGATCACATCTCATCCAGCTTCGGTGGCTCTTCTTCCCCTAGATTATTATCGAGATCCCGAGTCACCCGCTGCTGTTTCTGTTGCTGCTGGATATTGATATCGCCCCGGTCGGCTTTGACCTGCGGTGCCTTAGCCAATTCTTATAACCCACTTACCTTGATAGAAGGGAAGGGGGATAAACGCACCGAGATCTCACTAGAGGTAGCATGGATCTCATCCCAGTGGGCCGGATTCTGTGCTGACTCGTCGCGTTTCTGGACGAGACTGGGAGAATCCTCCAAGTTGTCTGGGTAGGAAGGGGGGATGAAGACTGAAGTTGAGATGTTAGTTTGATGCTTTCTTTCGATGGGAACAGGGGTAGAGGTAGATGAGGAAGCAAAGTGGCAAAACGTACACTCCTCTCCCTTGTTGCTATGCACTTCGGGCGGATGGTAGTAGCACACACGGGCGGAGTAGGTCGGACGAAGGACGAGAGGACGACTGAGAGTGGAAGCTCGTCTGAGGATCATTGTGGTAGATTTGATTGTCGATCAGTTTGAGTGAGTTGTAGATGGATTCGTGATAGATGCGTAAAATGGCGTCTAGACCAGAGTGATGAAGGACGGGAAATAATAGTGTGGGGATGGCAGGTAACTAAGGATTAATTGTGACGGACAGCAGAAAGTTTGGGTCGTGATGTCAGAGCCACTTTTGACACTCTCTGGTAAGTTTCAGGCGTGTGACAGGTGTGACAGGTCACGTTTCAGTCCCGTGCCTTTCTTCTGGACTGGTGTCGATCGTTGGTGGCTTTCGTTATCTATCCAGTGTATACATCACCTCTCTCTCCCTCCCCCCTTCTGGCACTTTCTAACCGCACAATATTGAGTCAAGCTTAATCAATTAGATTAAGAATTCATCTATCAACTGATTAATGTTTATCTACCAAAAACTCGGGTTAATCTAATCAATGCCGCTCCCCATTGTCTACCTCCCCCTTTTGAGGTTCGTGATGAGTCTCACCGGCGTTGAAGGTAGACGAATAAGGTGGCGGAGACCTCAGGAAAAAGGGATGCGACTCCACTATAGTTGACTCGTATCGGAGCTGCGGGCCTGTCTCAAAAACTAGTGAGCACCTTAAAAGGGGTTCACGGGCTCTGCTCGAGTCCAACCGCGTACTAAGAGTTCCTACGGAGCTCAAGGCCGTTTAGAGATAATCCCCTGTCTGGGATAGATGAGAGATGAGGAGGCAGGTGACTGATCGGACACCATGATGTGCGTTCTGCAATCCGGTGGGGTAGAATTTTGGGGTACTTCATGCCTGCTTGGGCAATGCCCGACAAGTGATGACGATGGCATAATGCAGCAAATCGATCTGGTTGTTGGGGACTGCACCCAACGTGGTCTAGATAAATGAGGCTGTTAGTGGTCCCCCTAATCTTTCTTTCTCTCTCTGGAAGGACCACCAACCAACCATTACGGGCAACATCCACACAGAAAGTCGGTGTGTCGACCGGAAAAGACCAAGCACGCTTCTTCGTTATTCCGCTGGTTGATGTCTTTCCGTGGTTCCCAGCCTCCCCAGTCTAATTACAGACTGGAACTTGATGAGCGAGTGTCTTGTGTCTTGCAGATAGGTGCGCAGTCCGGTGTTCCAGGTTGCCTGAGGATCATGCAACCATCGCTTAAGGCTCGCCTCGGCGACTGATCATTGGGGTCTGCAAAGTCCTGCCCAGCCAATTTTTCTTGGTTGACGGCAAACTGGCGGGACGGCGATCCACACTTCTCCATCGTGGACGGGCGAAGCGTAATCCCCCCATCAATTGCCGAATACGAACCAATCGAATACCGGCCCGGAAAATTTTTCGACACACTAAGGCAATTTTAGGCATCAGCTGCGGAAATGCATCGAGCTTCTAGCATTGTGACGTGAGATGAGATTCGAGGGCCATCATTGGGAAGGTTGATCAGCACAATTACAAGCATCGGCTAGAAGATAGCTAAACCTTCATTGCGCCGATCGGCCGCCGCCAAGTCACTCAATTGTCTGACAGCTGCCATGAATGGAGACACAGCCGGTCTCAGGTTCATGTTGACCTCCCAAGTCTCGGCTCGTGGGGATAACAAGGACGGGGTGGAGTGGCCGATCAGCATTAAGGAGACCGCTGGGAGAAGAGGCGATTACCATTGAATGAATCGATGACAGACGAAGCGGAGCCGAAAATTCCAACTGATCACTTCAGCCGCCCCACTGATTAGCTGTCGTTATTTCCCAATTCATGGTCTGAGGGGGTCGCAATCTGCATCATGTCAGGATTTTTTTCCTTTTATTTTTATTTATTTTTTTATTTTTTTTTTTTATCTGGCATGGTAGGGTATATACTTGTTCGACCGTGTGTGTGTGTCGGGGGCCATTTCCCTGGCCGAACATTTCAATAACTTCCCTGCCCACTTCCGCCGGTTTTCTTCTCTTCCTTCAGCTCCAGTGCCTTCACCCCAGCTTGCACCATGTCTGAACCGGGATACCATGCGGAAAACCACCCAAGGCATATCGATCGCAAAGCCCTGTACACCGATCTAGAGGCGCGGATCGACTATTTGCAGAGATTCCTCGACTTTAACGCCGGTTGGTGCCCCCCCGGGTCTTCCCCACAAGGCTGTTTACGTTCATTCTGCCTTTTTCCGCGGGAGTTGATTCTCCACGGCAACACCACGCCTAAACTGACTTGAGCTGAATACAGACGATATCGCAACTCTCGTCCGGGGCGCCAAATATGTCAAGGCTCTAGCTCCCACCGTGGTGGACAAGGTGTATGTGAAACTTCTGGAGTTTGATATTACGGCGCGCGTCTTCCGCACTCGGAACACAGCGGTAGAAGAAGAACCGGACGACTATCCCACCCTTAATAGCCCGGCAGTTCAACGTCGCCGTCAGTTTCTTCGATGGTACATGACCAAACTGTGTTCCGACCCAACCAAGCCTGAATTCTGGCGATACCTGAACCAAGTCGGGTATGCAACGATCCTATGTCCCCGCTTGTCCCTTTGTATTGGCCTACGAGACTAACGGGTTATTCCAGGCGCATGCACTATGGGAAGGAACGGCTGCACTCGTTGAACGTCGAGTACATCCATATCGGAGCCTGCCTGGGCTTCATCCAAGACATCGTCATGGAGGCAGTGCTGACATACGAAAAGCTCACCCTGCCGTTCCGGATAGCGCTCGTCAGGGCCCTGGGCAAGGTGATTTGGATTCAGAACGATCTCTTTGCGCGATGGCGTCTTCATGATGGGGAAGAGTTCGAAGACGAGATTGAGAGTTTGCACAATAAGCAAGAAGCCGGCCCCCAAGTCACACCGAAGCCCAGCTCGACATATCTGCGGGCCGATGGACCGTCTTGCGTCAAGACTTCGACGGCCAGCTCGACATCCTCTTCTGAATTTGCCAGCCTCTTTTCGGAAACGTCGTCTCTCGAGACCACCCCATCTCCACCCACCATTTCAGCCCCCACGCAATCCGCGCAACGTTCGGCGTGCCCGTTCGCCCACGGCCCCAAGCAAGGCGTCGAGACCAAGGTCTGGTCTAGCGCATGGCGTCCCGGGTCCGTTGGATCTGGTGGCACTCGACACTAGTGCTCAGGCGACACTTCTGCTAATATGATAAGTGTAATGATAATATCCGTTGATCGGACGAGATAGACTGGGCGCGTGTTTCGTTTTGTTTGTTATACCCACAAGGATCTGGCTTGCGGACAGTTAATTACGAGCGGAATAAATGAGTTTCAATGCATGCATATGGTTCACTCTTCAAATAGGGTATTTACATGCCATACTTACGTGTTAGACTATGGATAGGGATGACGTGAGCACTGGCACGTTGACCCTAGAATTGGGGGCGGGGGTCCGGTGAATGATGATGGCAACAGGTACAGTCTTCCGAATCCACACTAAATGCTGACTCGACCCATTAGAAGTGGACCCTGCCTGTGCCCATCGTGGATGCAGCTGAAAGAAGAAACTTTGATGTTGTCGCTGTTGTAACTGGAGAGCCATTGATCTGCTCAGCCAAATGTTCCAAGATATTTCTGACATGCTGTCTGACAACATGGTGGGCTCTGCACAGTCGAATGAACGCAAACGGCTACTATTCATGTGGCTTCATAAGACTCCATTTCTTGCAGCACTTCACTTCAAAATGATTAGTGATGATTTCCGACCGTACCGAGTGTCTTGCGTATTGCGGAAGCTTTGAACATGCAAAATGATGCGTGTAAGATACGATCTTTGAGATGTCATGACTGAGGCTAACAACTCGTCCTCGGTGTAATTCATACCGTGCAGGGTGCTCAAAGTGTAAATGATCAGCACTCCTGCATGCCATCGAACCTGTAAGAACTTAGTCAAAGAAGCAATGCATCTTCTGTCTCTTGGCATCCAACTGCCGTTGTTCCCCTCTTTGTGTGGCCGGTACTTGGACGAGATAGGTTGACGACTGAAACGCTCCAGGAACCGAAAAAAGCCATCTTATAGGAGGAAAGCACCTCCTTGACACAGATGATTTTCTCTGTGAATGATCAGGTTTGCGATTGATGATATACTCGGAACGCAATGTCCTACGCGGGGTATCCAAGAGACTGTCAATTGACGCGGTGGCTGCTCGATCGCTATCAAAATTGCCGGAGCAATTCCGAGCCCATATCCAGTTTGCCGTCATCGAGCATTGCTTGACTTCAGTGCGGACAAATCGCGTCGTACTCTGCCTCCGCATGGCTGCCGATCCTCCTTGCATCCCCTCACAACAACAACGGCATTTTAGGCTCAATCGCCGACATTCCGCACATAAAAACCCACTGTCGGAAATGCCCAACAAAGCCCGTGCTGGACTCTTGACGGGTATCGAGGTGAGCCAGGAAAACGGAAGAAGATGAGAATGCCCTCAGCCATCAGTATTGGAGTGATCGCGGGCCTGAGTGTCGCTGCTTCGGCCGTACCTTCTCTCCAGAAGAATGGCACTACCTGCACCGTCATCCCTTTAGGAAACGGACAGGATGATGTCCCCAACATCCTCTCGGCCGTTGACGAATGTGGCCAGACCTCTGGAGGGAGAGTTGTTCTCCCAGCGCCGTATACCTACCGAATTAACCAACGGATGACGACTCACCTGACCGATTCCCGACTCGAGATCGGTGGTACGCTTCTCTTCAGCGACGATATCGACTACTGGGTCAACAACTCCTACCGGGTGGACTTTCAGAATCAGTCAAGTGCCTGGCGTATCACGGGTCATGACTATGTTGTGGATGGAGGTCCACGTCAAGGTGGAGTGGATGGGAATGGACAGCTGTGGTACACTTGGGCCAAGGGAGGAAGCAATGTCTTCGGACGACCGATGCCAGTGCATGTGTTCGAGTCGACGCGAGCAACCCTGCGTAACCTGGCAATCCGGCAGCCTCAGTTTTGGGCTGTTCTTGTCGATTCCTCTTCGCATATCAACCTCGATAATTTTTACGTGAATGCCACAAACCATGACTCCTCGGTGAGCCCAGAGGGCGAGTGGGTGCAGAATACGGATGGGATCGACACGTACCGATCCGACCATATTACGGTTACCAACTGGGTGTACCAAGGCGGAGACGATGCAGTGGCTTTCAAAGGGAACTCGACGAACATACATGTAGAGAATGTCACGGTTTACGGCGGACCGGGCATCGCTTTTGGGTCGCTGGGACAATACCCCGACCGGACGGATATTGTGGAGAATGTGACGGTTCGGAATGTTCGAGTAAGTAAGGCTCAGAGGCATGATGGCATTTGAATTCACAGGTATAGGTGCAACCGTCCTTCCAACGGGCGATGAATTCCGGGGTTTACTTCAAGAGCTGGTAGGTACCATGTCCTTCACAGCGATCCCTGGCTGACCAGCTAGGATCGGGGTCAATTATGGTGTTCCTCCGAATGGTGGCGGGGGCGGCCATGGATACGTGCGCAACGTCTCAGTCGAAAACCTTCGACTCAAGGATGTGCAGTTACCTGTGTATATTGACACCTGGTGAGGGCGATACCACCATGTTTGAGGTACTCGGCTAACCCGGGCAGCTTGAGCTATCTCTTCAGCGAGAACATCACGCAGTATTGTGACACATCGACGTACGAATTCGAGGACCTCCACTTCAGAAACATCAGCGGCAATGGACTCGCAACGGTGACTGATTACCCGGGGAAGAATATCAGCTTCGCCGTGGCTTTGCTTTGTTCTGAGAAGGCACCGTGTACGGACTTGACCTTCCAGGACATCAGTATTACGCTTCCAGGGAACTATACTGGCAAACATGTACTGTGCGAGAATGCTGAGGCGGAGGGGCTCCCATGCAATTCGTGAGCTGTCGCTGAATGAGACAGATCGTGTCCATAAATAGAAGTCAGATGCATGTCTCACATGATTGCTCGCTTGCTGTTGGTAAGGTTTGACAATCACCCCAGTTGTGCAGCGAAGTTAAGTCACATTGGATGACTTTGGGGTTCCAATCGGATCTCGTTTCCATAGGACCAAATCATGATTATGTGGAAAGCGAAAGTTCGCCAAGCTTGAGAACAAGGTCTCTCCACCCCGTAGAGTCTATAACTCGCGCGTCTCGGAGTGTATCGAACGCCATGTAGTCAATCCCGAGCACTCGTGTCCCACGTCATGGTGAGTATGCAGTGAGTCAGGGACACAGATATAAATGGTGGCACACTGTCGTTTCTCGCAGGAGCAACACTGACAACAGAAGATATCCCGATAATTTACAGCCTCGATTTCAGTGCGACATAACGATGTATTTTAAGCAATCCTTGATTGCATCTCTTCTGGCTACGATGACTTGTACATCTTCCCCACCCCATCAGGGATACCCACTGACACTCAGTCTAGACGCGCAATCCCCATCCCACCCCACTATCACGGCGACCCCATGTGGTTCTAATTCGTCGTGTCCCACCGGCCAATACTGTACGACAGCCACCTTTCACACACCCTCCACCACGTACATCACCACCTGCGTGCCTACCCCAACCTGTCTGACCGTCTACTGTAAGCATCCTCCCCAGTCGGCTCGTGATACAGCTAGCTAACAGCTCAACCCAGCGGACTGTATCTCAGGGGGCGGGGGCCCGATTTGTTGCTCAGGATACTGCGCAGCGACCAAGTGTCGATCGACGGATTCGAATTGGCCAGAATGTAGTGAGGATGGTGGGGTGTGTCGGGATGATGGAGATTGTTGTTATGGGAATAACTGTGAGGATGGACTCTGTGTGAGGGATTAGATAGATAGGTAGATAGTTTAGTCGTAGTCATTCCCCCATTCTGTGTGCCTAGCGGGAGATCAATTTCACATGGAAATCCTTCTCCTTATTCTCGAGAAACTCATTGGTCTAGCTGTGTGCCATGACGTTGGGCAGAGAGGAGAGCTCCCAGCTCAAGCGAATCACGGAACGAGCATCGGCAATTGACAGCTGGGGGCCTCGGTTCAGGATGCAGGAGCAGCAGCAGGAGCAGCAGCAGGACCCTTATATAATAGACACGAGCGCCCTGACAGACGGGCGCGACGCAGGAGACCGGCAGTGATGAAAGGCCGTCAACTACCGCCGATCCACCAGAGGGTGGACTCGCATTGGTCAAGACTCTGGGGACCCCGCGCTACCCCGACATTCACCCCGGACTAGTCTGCCTTTAGGCTGGTCCCTTATCACTAATCCTCCCTAACCTGCAAACTCACCGGCCAGCCAAACACGCGGCCATGAATCCACTCGTGCGACCGGACAAGTTCTCCCCGATAAACATGGCCCCTCCCCCCTGGTGGGTAGGTGGGTTAAATCCCCAGTTGACCCTTTAACCTGCTGCTCCTCGTGGCTATCGTACGATCGTGAATCTGCCTCCCGAACGAATCGTGCCACCCTGCAGCCGCCCATCCAGCCATTCAATGTCCAGAATGTCGCTCGAAGACTCCTCCAAGTCCCGGTCGGACTACATCGAAAAGACCGAATTGGGGGATTTGACCACTGAGGTGCCTGGAAGTAACCTTTCGGAGTCGCACAAGACATACCTGCTGCAGCGACATGGCACGTTGGATCTCGATCCAGTCCCTAGTATGGACCCTGCGGATCCGTACAATTGGCCGCTCCTCAAGGTGAGGGAAGCTTTTTCCGTCGATCGAGACAATGGCATCTGACGAATCAGAAAATCATCAATCTCCTCTTAGTCGCCTTCCACGCCTGTATGGGCACTTTTACCGCGGCAGCCGTGATCCCAGCCTACGAAGAAATTGCCGAAGACGTGGGGGTCTCTCTGCAGCGAACAAGCTATCTGACCTCTCTCCAAATCGCTATCCTGGGTGGTGCACCGCTATTCTGGAAGCCGCTTTCCCAGCGTTACGGACGCCGTCCTATTTTCCTCCTCTCGTTAATCCTCAGCTGCGTCTGCAATATTGGCTGTGCCAAGAGCCCGGACTATGCGTCCATGGCGGCATGTCGTGCCCTGGTGGCCTTCTTCATCTCCCCGGCCATGGCGATCGGCAGTGCTGTGGTCACGGAGACATTCTTCAAGCGCGAAAGAGCGCAATACATGGGTATCTGGGCGGTGATGGTGACTCTGGGAGTGCCCGTGGGACCTCTCATCTTTGGTTTCGTGGCTCAACGCGTGGGATATCAATGGATTTACTGGACTCTGGCTATTGTATGCACCGATGCCGCAACCTGCCTAGAGGGATCACAACTAACAAATGAGTTTCTAGACCAACGCCGTCCAATTCATCCTCTACATCTTCTTCGGCCCCGAAACACGATACATTGGCACCGACATGCACTCCACCTCCGCCTTCAAGCATCAATATCTCAGCATTCGACGCATCGACCCTACCCCCTTCAAACTCGCCGAGTTTTACCATCCCCTGACCCTCATCACTAACATTCCCGTCCTCATTGCCTCTGCCGCCTACGCCATGGTCTTCCTCTTCGCGTCCGTCATGAACTCTGTCGAGGTGCCCCAGTTGCTCCAGTCGAAATTCGAGCTCAACGCCGAACAACTGGGCTTACAATTCCTGGGTCTCATCATCGGTTCTCTCCTGGGTGAACAGCTGGGTGGTGTTCTGTCAGACACTTGGATGGATCTCCGCGCCAAACGAACCGGTCACAAGCCCGAGCCCGAGTACCGTCTCTGGCTCAGCTATATCGGATACCTGCTGACTATTGCGGGTGTGGTGGTGTTCTTAGTCTGCACGGAGAACGCACAGACCGGGAAATGGAACGTCCGTCCGATTATTGGCACGGGAATTGGCGCGTTCGGCAACCAAGTCGTCACTACAGTGTTGATCACATACGCGGTGGACTCGTATCCGGCCGACTCGGGGAGCGTGGGTGTATTCATTAATTTTATCCGGTCTACGTGGGGGTTCATTGGGCCGTTCTGGTATGCCATTCTCGTATATTCCAGTTGCATATTTGCTAATAGCGATCAGGTTCCCCGATATGTTCGATACCGTGGGCATCGCCAAGAGTTCCGGTGTCGTGACGGCGTTGCTGATGGGCGTGAGCTTTATCCCGACGGTGATCTTGCAGTGGCGGGGGCAGAAATGGAGGAATACTTAGTATACCATATCCATACACCATACACCATACAATCATAGACGAGTTTATATATACACAGTATGATAATGAAGAGAAGTTTCATTCAAGCACCCACACTATTCCACTCTATGCTACCCACACCACTCCTATAAAAGTCGTACCCCCATCTATCATTACCACCTTAGCTAATTCATTTCAAGACCATCCCTCCCACACCTGATATACGAACAAATCAAATCAAATCAATTAACCGTATTCAAACACTGACTCCTCACCAACCCCCCCTCCCCCTCCCTTCCACCACTCCCTCCACCACCCCCACCACCAGCAACCCGACTCGTCCGCACCGGCATCATCCCACAATCATCCAACACCCACGTCAACACCCTAACCACCTCCCCCTCCGTAACCCCCTCATTCACCCCCAACTCCACGGCCCTGATCCACGGCGACGCCCCAAAACACATATTACACATCAGCCGCCGTCTCTCCAAACACACCTTTTCCACCATGAAACTCGTCCGAAACGCCGCCGAATTCGACACCAGAATGCAGTCCCGCGGGGTCTTGGCGTCCAACTCGCCCATGATGTCGATCTTGAGCGGGAGGTGTTCCGGTACGCATTCGATCACTAGCCATGCGTCCCTGACCGCCGGGGTTATGTCCGCCGACGAGAACGCGTGGATTTGTCCCACCGGTCGGGATATCAGTGGGAACGTCGTGTAGTGTGCGAGGTTTGAGGTTATGTAGTGTTGTGCGGACTGTAGGGCTCCTTGGTTTGGGTCGTGGAGGTGCACGGTGTGCCCTGCCGCGGAGAAGATGCAGGCGATGCGTCGGCCCAGGTTGCCGGCGCCGAGGATGGCGAGGGGGCGGGGGGAGATTGTGGGTGGGGTGTAGGGGATGGTTGGGAGGGAGGTGAGGTCGTCGGTTGGGAGTGTGGTTACGGTTGTTGTTGTGTTGGAGTCGGTGGGGGGTGTGGCTGGGTTGGTTGTGTCTATGTTTGTCAGGGACATGACGGGTATAATAGTATTAAATGCACACGCGAATGCAAAGAGGAATGGTACATTAGGGGTTGTTGTTGTTAGCTAGTACTAGTACTGTTGTCTATATATGAAGCCATGCTCCGAGCCAGGACCGGTTTCTATCTCGGCCGGAAGCAGGGATCTATCTAATCCTAATCCCCGGGGGGATGTGAACACCGTCGGGGTTCATTGTCAGTATTATGCAGGAGGCAAACGGGGAGACAGTCGCATTTGTTCCTTGATATGGGAATATCCCACATGACATCAGATCCTCTGAGGTGATACCTGATCGGGATATAGATTGGGGTTTGAGAATTCGGGTCTGGAATATGGTTCGACATGTGGTGTGACCGTCAGCCTTTGGAACACGCTGTTGGCAGGCCTGTCCTATAGCAGGGAACTGGAAATCTTAAGCTGGCCAAGAGTCTGCCCAGACAGGGTTTGCAGACCTGGAAGTGTAAAGCCTAATTGGGGGTTGGGATCATGCAATGAACAGACAAGTTTATGACGGGATTTCAGTACTCTGCGGTTCATCGCTGTGGACCCTGCTTGTAGTGGAAGTACGCATCGAGAGATCTGTATATATCCATGTCCTGTGTCTTGTGTTGCGTCGTTGAGGAGTTGTCGTAGAAGTGGCGTGCGGCCTCTGTCTGCAACCCCAAGGCTTATATTCCCACCAATCAGTGAAAGCTTATCTCAAAAGGGAAACAGGGAGAATGGTTCCCTGCCTACGAGGGCTGTGTGGGTAATCAGTGGGCCGAGGTAAAGTAGAACCTTTACAATGGAACAATTTGACTATCAGTGATGATCATAGCAGCGTTCATCAATGATCGACTGGTATCCATTGAGACACAAAGAACGATAGTTCATGTTTGCAAATCAAAACCTACATTGTCTCTTAGTCAACTCAATCCACTCTTCTCTCAAAAATACAGCTTGTTCCCCCCATAATCCTACCCAGCTACTAACAGCTGATATCGTCCGGCACATTCTCACAGTCGGAGCTGGTCTTCCCTCCACTCACATCCACATCCGTCCAAGTCCAGTCCGTGCAACTGTCTGATCCGCAGACGATGTAGATGTTGGTGCCCGAGCTCTCCACACTGCCCTGCACATTGTCCAGGACAAAGTCTTCGATGGTGATTCCATCGGTCGGGGATTTGCTCGTATCGTCATAGTTTTGCTCCACCACAATGCCATAGTCGGTGATATCGGACAGGGTAATCTCCTTGTAGGTGACCTCACTGACCGATCCAGTGTCGCCGTAGATGGTCTTGATGCGGACTCCTATACGCCGCTTAGTATGTGATCGCACCGAACTACAACCTTGATGGAATAAATCTTACCGTTCTGAGAGCTCTTGATCTCCGAGTCGTAGAAGGTCACGTTCTTCACGGTGTTGTCACTCCGACCGCCGACGGAACCGATCGACAGCCCGTGGCCACCAGAGCAGACGCCGCCCGAAAAGTAAATGTTCTGGTTCCCATCAGTGTCCACATCCGTACCTTAAAGGACGGTATACTCACCTCGCCCGAGTTCACCGCCACACAGTCATCTTGGTTGTATACATTGGCACCCGTGATGGTAATGTACGTGCTATCACCAATGTCGAACCCATCGGTGTTGGCCGCCTCGCCATCATCGCCATCCGTGTTGTCAATGGTGATGTCCTCCATGGTAAGATACGTCGACCCGTCAATGCTGAACACCTGCACCGGCGAGTTCTGGATGTAGATCCCGCTGATCGTGGACGAGGTCAGATCATGGGCGTAGAAGAACTTGGGCTTCGTCTTGCCGCCGTTGCTGCCCTCGCCATCCCACCAACGACTGCCGTCACCGTTGAGATAGGCGCCATCGGCCCCGGTGACGGTGATGTCAGTTCCGGAGACTGAGACAAGAGGTCCGCTCCATTCCTCGTAACCGAAGGTGGTTTCGCCTTCGAAGATGACCTGTTCATTGTGAGATGTGAAGAATCGCGCGTGGAGGCGCAGTAACTTACGTGAGTCCCGTCGTTCAGATCGGTCAGATCCAACGTGGTGCCTGAGGGCACTGCCACGTCGGACAGCACGATGGTGGAGCACGAGGTCTTGGACTTGCTGGCAGACGAGGCCCCCTCAGAGCCGGAGAACGTGCAGGAGGTTGCGCGCTTCTCCAGATCCTCGAGCTTAGGGGCGGGGGTCACCAGCGGATCGGCAACGGGGCTCGCACTGACCAGTGCGGCCCAGAGCGTTAGGACGATCACCGAGCTAGAAGTCACCATGTTGAAGGCACTCGCAGATCAAGGTTTGAGACAAGCTTTTAATCAATGTCTTGGTTCCTCTTGGGCTTTCTTGGCTGGCGGAATACGTGCGTTTTATACCCATTGAATGTATCATTGGGCCATCTCTGCTGTCTCTGTGGTGGAATATCTCCCGGCTTTCTGTGGACGGCACTTCGCAGCTCCGGCGGAAGAACTGCCGTAGCGCGCGGGACAATGTGATAGTTTCTGCAGGACTTCTGCGTGCCTCTGTCTCCCCACGAAGCGCCACACTATATTTCCCGTGCCTGACGCGCAATGTCTTCAGTAAACCTCATCCGGTTACCCGGGTCGTGCAGCGATGAGTGGTGGGAAATTATACCGGTCACTGTACTTGAGGCAGCCGTCACTGTAGTATGTTGCCCCTGAGGACTCTATTGTCCGATGGGGTCGGAGATCGGATGCTGGGGTTATCTTTGAAGAATAGGCCATGATTGTGGTAAGCTTGTTGCAGGAAGAGGTGCGGTTTGCGAGCCTCCCAGAATGTCACCACACGGTCTCATACAAGACTGGTCGTGTTCAGCTGGGGATCATAGTTGTGACAGCACCATACCCCAACTTGAATCAACCAAGCTTATGTGCGACATCAAATTGCTGTCCAACATCTTCCTACATGAAGGCAACTATGGAAGCGCACGGCTTGTCAAAGACAGAGGGTGTTGAGAGAAGACCAATCTTGCGAGGTCAATACTCGTGGTGAAGCCCAGACAGCACAGGGGTAGCCAGACATCCATGTGACCAGCAACATTTATTTTAATCAAAGCGTGTATGATAATTAGGGGCAATCAACCAAGGGTTGTATTACCTGACCCCTGATTATCATAAGGTTAGCAGATATCGCATGGTAATTTCGGACCTAGTTGGCCATGACAGTCAAGTGCTGCCCCATGAACGGCACATGACTGCCCTGGTCTGTTGCCTGACATCATGGGGAAGCCATGTTCAAAAGCAAGCCATTCCTATTCAGTCAATCAATCCCTTAATCAATCAATGACTGATCTTCCCCTTGCTAATGTCCGTCCCAAAAAAGACTGATTGATAAGGCACGATAAGACAGCGATAAGATAGAGCGATCGGCCTCTTCCGCGACCGGGACTGCCCGATGCCGATGGAGGCGTGGGAATTGCAACAACTATTTAACCAAGGTCCATTCCTCGCAGTTCTGCTAGAATTCGGATCGCTTCTGAGAGATTTGCACAATGGCTCCTACAGTTCACTCCCTACCTCCTCCTCCAGGCTCCGACATTGATTTCGGAGCCATTGTCGAGAATATCGACCTCGAGAATCTGACCGGTAAGGACGAGTCGATTGCGATGCCATTGGGAGCTGCTGCTGATACTTGTTAGATGACGACTTCAGTGTCATCCGTAAAGCGCTTTACGAGAACCTCGTGGTGGTGGTGAAAAACCAACACCACCTCTCTCCGAAAGCACAGTACGAGCTTACCCGTCGATTCGACCCGGCCGCCTCGCAGTACGGCCACGGCAAGACCCTCGATGCGAAGCGGAGCATTTTGCATCCCGATCTCAAGACCGTCCCCCATCAGCCCCAGGTCCAAGTGATTGGTCATGGGTTCGTGGAGGCCTACGAGGGCCTCACCAATATCCAACTGAAACACCCCCATCACCGCACATTCCACCGCGACGCTATTCCCGACGAGGAGGATTATGATTTCACTCGCTTCTACCGCTGGCACATTGATGCGGCCCTGTATGATTTTTACCCACCGAATGTGACGACATTACTGGCAGTGCGCGTCCCTAAGGGCCGGAGACAGACACTGCGGTATGATGACGGATCAGACGAGACGCTGGATGTGCCTTTGGGAACGACCGCATTTGTCAGCGGCGAAAGAATGTTTGAGATGCTCTCGGACGAGGACAAGCAGTTTGCGCTGACGAGTCGCGTGGAATATGCGCCCCACCCGTATGTTTTGCTGGTCCTGTTGTGATTGTGAAGCCCGCTGACATGAACAGGTACATCTGGATGAGCTCCGCTCGTTCTCTTCCTACCGGTCTCGGTCTCTACTCCGAGGACAAAGAACTTCCTCTGTCTGACCTACCTCCTATCGACGAATCCAAAATCCAGATCTTGCCTATGGTATGGAAAAACCCTGTGACGGGCAAGCCGGCTCTTCAAATACACCCCTCCGCGGTGCGCAAGATTCACCGCAAGGATGGCACCGTGATTGACGATTTGGGGCGCGTGCGAGAAATTGTGTATAAGTTGCAGCGTCCGGCGATTAGCCCTCCCCATGTGTATGCGCATGACTGGCAGGAGGGCGATCTGGTGCTGTTCAACAATCGGGGGGTTATTCACTCTGTGGTTGGGGCGTTTGGCAAGGATGAGGTGCGCTTGTTCCGGCAGTGTAACCTGGCGGCGGGGGAGGCGCCACTGGCGTATGAGGCATGATCAATAGACTTAGATGTAAATTAATTATATTAATCTTACGAATATCAAAATAATCCTGGTCCAGTTCGTTACGTATGCTCCTGATGGGAGATTGGCGACGAGGTTCAGGTTGGGTTTTGCTCTCTGAGGGCAGGCATTCGACGGTGAATGTCCTGCAACGCGCCTGCCACTAATAACTAGTTCTTCCTGTGTATTCCAATTCTCGGTCCATCGAAATGAGCGTCCCCATCATAATTTATGATGATTATAATGGACATTACGTGTCCAGAGAAATATGCATTGGGTATATAACTGCCTGTCTAATTACTATTAGATATGTTCATGCTTACTTTTACGCACATCCATCGTCTATCATCTATCATCTATCATCGCTCATCCATCCATCTTTTTCTCTAACGAGCAAGTTCCTAATTCTGTTAGCTTGATGGATCTCCTACCATGGATGCGAAACTTACACTTGCAAGCTTGCTCTTCGCGCGGATTCGACCGCCGTAAAACACAAGGACCCACGGTACTAGGGTCAGAAGAAGGCCCTGTTCCAGTTAGTATCGACGGAGACAAACGTTCGCAAGTACAACGTACAATTCCACCAAGGAGACTAGATGCTCCAGGATAACCGAGGTTGGTAAACATGGCATTGGTGACCAAAGGGAAGACACCACCCAGCAGATTTCGGCCTGTTTCGATCAGCATGTTGCCTTTGGATTCGGGGGGCCCTTCAACGGGAAGAAGGCCTTACAGCACGACTGGGCGGCAATCGCGGAACTGGCATAGCGATGGTAGGTATCCGCCAGGTAGTTGAACACAGCCAGGTAGACTGCGAAGATTCCCATGGTAGCGCAGCCAATCGCCAGCGTCGGGACAATCCATGGTACAGATGAGTAGGACGTCCAGCCAAACCAGAAGAGCCCGATGGGCATAAGGATGGCTTCAACGCAGACAAAGTACAGTCGAGCCTCGGGTTTCTTGGGGAGAAATCCATACTTGTTGGCGATCTTGTCTTGCAGGATGCTGACGATCGTGGTGATTATGGCACCAACACACATCGCTGGTGATATTAGCAGCTAATAGGTGAAATATAGGGAAGGCAATCCTACATGCAAAGACAGCTCCAGTCTGCTCGGTAGTGAAATGGTGATTGGTCTTAAAGACCAAGGGAATCGAGCCGAACTGCAGGTACAGAACAGCCCAGCTGAAAGACACCCAGAGGGAGAAAAAGAAGACCACCGGCTCGGTGAAAAGCATGTCTGAAATGACATCAGTACTGACTCCTAACTTCATTGCGAGCGATACTTACGGAATGGACGATAGCAAGAAATGCTGATCATCTGCATGAGAGACTCGCGCTGCTCGTCACTCTTCACCTTCCATCTGATCCGTCTGGCCTCGTTCTTCTCACCCATGATGACTCCAAAGTGCCCGGCAGCCTCGAGCTGCTCATAATAGGTGTTCACAGCATGTGCTTTCCGACTCAACAGCACACTTCCTCGCGTTTCGTTAAAGAAGAAATAGATGACCACCACGAAGAAAGCCGACACGATGGCATGCGACCAGTAAATCCAGCGCCAGGAAGTGTGCGCCACGATCGCACTGGAGCATAAAGGTGCCAATCCAGTTCCAAAGAGCGCGGCGCCAGAGAACAAGGCCATGGGGGTATTGCGTTCCTCGGCATGGAAAATGTCGCTAATCACACCACCAACCATGGTCGAAAAGGTCGCTGTCGCCGGTTAGCTACGCATTCGAAGACCAATCTTTACCATCTATACATACATGCACCAACACCCTGAAACAGTCGTGCGATCAGCAGTCCTGCGAAAATATGCGTGCCTCCACAAGCAATAATGCACGCTATTCCTGTCAGCTTCCGTTGCGGTCCACCGGGCGACAATCACATACCAGTGAAGAGCACACCACTTGCGACAAAAATGGGTCGCCGACCATTAATTTCCGAAAAGGGCGCCAGGACCATCGGAGCCAGCGCAAATCCGATACAGAAAATCGTGATGCCCAGATTGTATACCACCGCACTGATCCCCCACTCGGCCGTCAGCTCCGTCGATGCTGGGTTAACCTCGCCTGCCGAATAACCAGCCAGTGCCGTCACGGCGCACGCAATCCAGGTCATCATCCACTTGCGCCATTTCGGCCACAGAAACGGGGAGGTATATTTCTCGAGACTCGGAGGTTCGGGAGGAAGCCATTGACCGGGACCCGGGGTGCAGTGATTAACGGTGTTGGTAAGGGAGTTTCCAGTTCGAGGTAAAGATATTCGATCTCCTGCGCGGCGGCATCTTTCTCCTGACTGAAGACGGGGTCGATGGGGCGATCCAACTCGGGGGAGTAGACGGTGTCTGCGGAGCCCGACTCACTCGGAGAGGGGGCCTCGTGGGTATGCATTCCCGCGGCAAGCTGCTCTGGCTGTGAGGCTATTATTGCACACTGCAGAAAGTGTGTGTGCCATTACTGGCGCCGGGACAGGGCCCTTTTAAACGATGACGATCCAGCGTTCCAGCCAGCGCGGAACTTTAGTGCCGATGGGACCAATTTGGAGAAACTTGATTATCAACGTTGAAGGATTGATTAGTACTTTGTTCCACTTAATGGTAGATTGTCGAGGCCGTCCGCGATCGACGGGGTGGCCACGCCCTATAACCGCACTTGAGAGTATTTCCTCGGCTATAGCTCCCGAGGCCAATGCTGGATTTACATGCTAGACAGGACACTGTGCTTCAGAGAATCGACATGGAGTTTTCTGAATTGGGAGTGTTTTCCACGCCAGGGAACTCAGAAACTAGTTGTTTAGTGGCTGCAAGCTGACGCATTGCGACGGGGGGCCCTGAAATTTTGGCGTGAAAAACCCGGCATTCCCCACTTCGGGTTCTCCAATTCGGAGACAAATTCACAACACATTCCCAATTCCTGACTCATCGATAAGCCTTTTGCCGATGCAAGAAGTTGGGGAAGTTTGGGGAATCGGCCGAGATGGTTCTATTTCTACAGATCTCAGCTGAGCCCTACCCTGGTCCTCATCCTATTTACCATTAAGATACCCTCCCTGCACCAGGGCCACATGTTCCTCCGATTTTCTGATGGAGATGCGATCTTATTAGCTCATAGGGCCGTCTCGAGCCATGTGCCGTTCGGGGAGATGCGTTACAACTCCGAATCAGGCTGCTCTCAAGGCTTGCAGCTTCCTGCAACTGATCGATCGATCTGAACGTGTCTCGTGGCTGATAAGGATTCGAAACAACTACACACAACGTTCTCCGCAGTGTCTCGGATAGCCGGTTCGACCACTTCAGCGCTTAAGCCCCTCGGATAGGACTCGTCTTCACCCTTTCCATTCAACTGCGGGGTAGACTGTTGACACATGATACCCAGTCTCTTCTGCTCACTGGCCATGTCGACCGAGGGCTGTCTGCGTTTCTTTGGGCATAAATGAGCTGTAGACTGCATCCTGGCCTTGACAAATGCCAAGAATAAGGGTGCATCCCTTCACCTCCGAGGGAAGCGGTAGATGCACCAATTGGCTTATATCCTGCAGCTCCTCCCACCGACTGTTTGTGCCGATAGAAATCCCAGGCATCTGAGTCAGAGGGCGGTTTTCGCGGGTGTCTACTTTACCAAACAAGATGGGGCATTCTTGGCCGTATTGTGTCTGACTGGTATGCGCACAACGCTATCGGAGTGGCATTCCAAGTCCGAACTGTACGTGCGACATGTCTTTTGCTGAACTATAGTAAAGGCACAAACAGTAGCCGCTACTCTTGATGTTTGCAGATTCGCCATGATATGCTGATTATCTTGTTTAGCAAACGTGAAAAGATGCTATGTTAGATTGAGTCTTGCTCAGCACCCAAAGGACTTATCGAAAGAAATACTCGTTTACTCAGACACAACCGCAGAAATGGGGTAATTTGATACCTCGTCTGTCTTTCTTGATGAAGTAGCCCACCTAAGCATCTGCCCTAGTAATGATACTTCTGGTGCTTTGACATGCGGACTACTAGAAGATAGATTCTGTTGTCAGGGGTAATCTATACCATGCTGTGACAGTTCTTTGATTGGCTATATTTTCCAAAATAATTTGAACATGCACTCCCATGTTATTTTCGCATACAAACTAAGTGCATTGTTGAAGGAATTTCCTTAGGTTGAGTGATCCCATAACTCGTGAAGGTAACGTCCGTTGATAGCCTTAACACAACCGATACCTCATATATTATAACCAGTTTCTATGCTGTAAGCTAGTTGCCTTATATATGCTTGGCACAACTCCCTGAAAAAACCTGCTAGCTGCGGCCCGGCTTGTCAGCAGCATTACCTCTATGATATTCGAATCCAGATTCGGTATTTGCTCAGTCTGTCCATGGATCACTGTGGTTTTAACATACTAATTAAAACCTACTTGACGGCCGAATCACCAACCCACACCAAGCGACATTGATGATTGGCTAATGCGCACTAGGTGTGAAATGTTATGGTTCACTGACATCACGAATAGACTTTATGGTGGCGAATTCTATTCCGCACTGTGATGATCCCACTTCGGGATGCTGTTGAAGATATCGAACAACATTTTACAGTCAGACCAAAGAAAATTCAATGTACGAGCGCTTCATTTGGAAAAAGATCGAAGGTGAATAGTTGAGAGCAGCCGAGAAGTTTGCCTTTCTTATGATTCATTGATATACCTCAAGGCCGACAGAAGCCCCACCCTTTTGTTACGGGGCGAATGAAGTACTTGAGGGAGTCAAATCGAGTACATGCTAAGAAGTTATCCTTTGGTTCCCACAGTCTCCCCATGGGTACGAGACATCCCGCACCTGAAGCAATGTGGCAGTGTCATTCTGCGGTTTAGATGGCACCTCGTGACCAAGATGGCAATGTATGATTTGACGGGATACATTATGCGTTCCTTCCTGAGAATATCTGACAGAAAGACGGAGAAGGACCTTTGAATACGAAGATGGTTGAAGGAAGAAGGGGCAATCGAGTTTATGTAATGTCGGCAAACTGAGAGTTGCGCTATCTAACACCCAATTGTCTCTGCACTGAAAATCTAAGGTAATTAAGATCTCAAGTTCTGGTTGCCTAATTGAAATGGAAACTCCCTTGTGAAATGATCTACGTAGTCTGGTTCATCTAGTTGTCACCGATCTTCTGCCACCTCTGCACTGCTGCTCAACCTTACCAGACTGGAACCATATCAAAAAGCTTCGTTGAAGCCAAGGAACAATGGCACAACATGGCCTATCAGGCCCTTCAAAAACTCTTACGGTGCTTAAGCAGGAAAAGAAGCAATGAATCTATGATCCGTCTATCCTAGATATACAGGAAATACGCTGGCAGATATTTTCTTCTCGACAACCCTTCACAAGGCACAGATGGAGAGATCTTGCACTCGAGAGGGCTAACGGCCTGTCGCTCTTTGCAAACAACATGTGGCCTGATGACATAGGGAGCCAAGTGGGCTCCCAGCTGTCACGTCCCGTTACCTACGTCATCACCTCCTTCCTCTCCATCGCTCTCTATAATGTCGTGGAGCTGACCTTCATTCTGTTGCTGACGTTCAAGCGCCGCAAGGGGCTATACTTTTGGAGCTTCGTCGTCGCTACTTGGGGCATCGCCATTTACTCCATTGGATTTATCCTCAAAGACTTCAATCTTGTCGACAATGCCATCTCCTACTTCTATGTCACGCTGATCGTGACTGGCTGGTGTGCCATGGTCACCGGCCAGTCGATGGTGCTGTACTCTCGTCTTCATCTCGTCGTGCGGCATCATATCATGCTCCGGTTCATCCTTGGCATGATTCTCTGCGATGTCTTTCTACTCCAAGTTCCAACTATCATTCTATGCTACGGTGCAAATTCATCTACCTCCGATAGATTTGTGCTACCATACGCCATATACGAACGGATTCAAGTGACCGTTTTCTTTATTCAGGAAGCCATAATATCCGGCGTTTACGTATACGAGACGTTCAGATTGCTTCGCTCGGAAGATGAGATCTTGGAAGGAACACACCGAGAGGCTGCCCGGAGGCTGATGCTGCACCTGATTCTCATGAACATTATCGTCATACTCTTGGATATCGCAATTCTGGTCCTTGAATGGGCGGGTCGGTATGCGTCGCAAACAGCAGTAAAGGGGTTCATCTACAGCGTTAAGCTGAAGCTGGAGTTTGACATCTTAAACCAACTGGTCACGTTCGTATACCACTCTCACATATCGAATTCGGCCAATTTGGAGGGGGAAAGCTCATCGAGGAACTTCTGGGATATCAATCAACAAGCTGAGCAAAATAATGCTCCCACGCGTCATCCTCATCCTAGGCATTGTGCGTGGGCCGACGCGGCTAACAGGATTAGACGTGATTTTACTATCTCGGCTGAGAAGAAGATGATCAAGATAATCCAATCTGCCAGAAAACAATCTAGTTCCAGCGGTTCCCCACAAGACGCAGATTCGGATCGTCCGGCATGAGAAGCTGTCCCCGAACACGAAAAGAACGGTGATTGGGATGGCTATATTGGGTATAAGGATGCTACAGAGCCTCTTGTTTTCTTGAGGAGTATGACTCGACTCAATCGCCCCAAAACAGTGGACTGTGCATTGGGGTCACAAGGGCCGTACAGGTGCCGTCTACGACTCAGATACATCCCTTTGGTTATGACTTCGGGAGATCTTCGTCTTGGTCTGTGCAGAAACAAAGATGCTGTAAAAGCGCTCCTGGGAAAGCCAAGGCAGACCTTGAAGGTCCCTGCTGAGTAAAATAAGGGCATACACAACACTCCGCTGATGGGAATTTACGCCGACACCTCTACGAAGATTGACTTGGAAGCTTGAGACACTCAATTCGCTGTCTCTATCGCTTGCTCCAGTTCAAATTTGTCTCCAACTATCATCTCCGAAGCCTCTCCAAGTCACAGGAAGATCGAATTATGATGGATAGTCGAAAGCAATGAGTCTCGAATGGAGCATTTTCAACGCGAGGATGATCTTGGTACTACTTAGTGTATATATATGTATATGCCAGCTATGTTGACCAAGGGCCTGTAAATAGAGAGACAAACGTCTTATATCTCCATCAACGTCGTACATATATCAGGCTATACTGGAGATGCTGTATAGTCCGATCTTGTAGTAGAGGCGATAAGATCAAGCCCACCCGGAGTGGCGCCGGTCCTCCCCGGCACTGCAAAGTAACCCAAAGCGGCAAGTTTGCCTCCGGGGGTCGGCATTCTAGCCGAGGCTTGGCACTCGGCTGGGTTGCTTTGCGATTGTCAGCTGCGATGCATCATCACCTCCATGACCACGAGCTAGTCAACCTGCTTGTCGTGCAATTCTATAGCGGGCTAACCACCGGCCTAGTGATGGTGAAGCCTTCCAAACAATATCAATGCCAGCGATGTTCCCGAACCTTTGCCCGGTTGGAACATCTCCAACGCCATGACCGGTCGCGTATGATCCCCGCCCATATTGGAGATTCCTATTGACCCCAATTTCGTCAGACACCAAGGAAAAGCCGTATCTCTGCACCCAATGTCCCAAGTCATTCACGCGGAAGTACGGCATATCCCCTTACTCAACTTCTCCACCAGCATTTACTGAGTTATCTCAACAACAGAGACCTCCTGGCCCGCCATGAACGCCTGGCACACAGTGACGCCACTCCCGGCCAAGGAACAGCATCATCGCCTTCCGTAGCATCTCCCCAAGTCTTTGATGGCCTTAATGTCTTGGCCTCTGCAGTAACCGATCATCCTACTCCTGCCACGATACCAGGCCCACAGGCCCTACTCCCAGGTGCTCATGAGCAGTTTACTCCCGGCCTGGCCGCTTCTGTGCAGGGCCATCCGATAGCCACTTCCAATCCATCCGGACAAGGACCTCCAGGATCTACTGGCTTCACTGAGCCATTTGTCGGTTACGGACCAGCAAACTCTTACGATGGTGATGATTTCACGACCTTCCTCGACAGTATCCCGCTTCCCAGCCATCCGTTCTCACCTACCTATCAGCCCCTTCCACTATTCCCCACATTCCACTTTGACTCCGCATCAGAGTACAGCCAGCCTGTTGCGAAGGCAAACAACGAGGTTACAACTCCCTCCAGCTCTATTCTTCCTAGACATGGAACACAGCTACCGTCGCTTCAGCCCGAAGGTGCTCATATGCCTTACAAGACCCGTGACCCGAGTGCTCCTATCTCGGTTACCGCGCAATGCCGTGATCGCATCGTCGCCGAATTGTCGAGTTATTCGAACGTGGTTCCTAACCCCTACACTCCATCCAGACATGCCCTGTCCAGATGCATCAGCGCTTACATGACCAACTTCCACTGCCATTATCCATTTATGCACCCTCCCACCCTCGATGTCGATTCCTTGCCTCTCCATCTAATCTTCGGTATGGCTTCCGTGGGTGCCCAGTACTGCCGGGAACCCGAAACAAGCATGAGCCTCTACAAAGTGGCCAAGGCTGTGACTCTCGAACATATACGAAGGGACCTGCAATGGGGGTGTCTAAGTCCGCAGACGGAGGGTCCGGTGGACCCCGTATCTAGAGGCCAGGATATCATTGAGACGGTGCAGGCGCTCTTGATGCTCATTTCTGTTTCGTGTTGGTTTGAGCGCGACCCGCCTCATCACGAAGCATTATATATTCGAAGCTCCATGGAGACACTCCTTCGGCAAGGAGGACTCAATGACTTACCAGCCCAAGATGGGTCCTGGGAAAGCTGGATCCGCTATGAGATGGTCAAACGGACAAAGCTCATTGTGTTCTGTTTCTTCAGTGTCCACACGATCGTCTTCGATATTCCGCCGCTGATCTTAACCGAGGAGCTGACGCTGGACTTGCCCTGCACTGAGCGAGAATGGACAGCAACCAGTGCAAGTCAGTGGCTGGAAGAGCGCAGCCAGAGTCGTGGGGAACCGAAATTACAAGATGCCATGAACTCTTTATTCACTCACACCGGTGCCGCTAAGACTAGCCTGGAGAGTTTCTCTTCCCTGGGGGGATACGTGCTTATTCACGCGATGATCCAGAACATCTGGTTAATACAAAAGGCTAGCAGGCTCCCTGTCTCCAACGGAAGCTTTCTGTCCCCGTCTGTGATTACATCCTTAGAGCAAGCTCTGGAACTCTGGTGTCAATGCTGGGAGCACAACCAGGAGTCCTCAATCGATCCTTTCAACCCGCACGGGCCAGTGTCCTTCACGTCCACGGCTCTCCTCCGTCTGGCGTATATACGACTCAACGCTGATTTCAGCTCCGCCCGTCGACTGGAAACATGGAATCCGGATGAGGTCGCCCGATCTCTCAAGAACAACTTGTCCGTGCAAAGGAGCGACCGTCTAACCCGAGCTGCATTACACTGTGCCCATGCACTTAGTACACCCATTAAATTGGGCATCAACTATGTCGCGCGCACCCTCGTTGTATCCTGGTCGAACCAATACGCATTATGCTCCCTGGAATGTGCCGTGCTACTTGCCAAATGGCTCGAAGTGGCCACGATCCCCAATCCAGAACCCAGCTTGACTGAGCAAGAGAACAAATTGCTGGAATTCGTGCTGGAAATGGTTATGGAAGCTCAGCATGGGGTGTCCCGTGAATGGCTGCTCGCGAATAACACTCGTCTTAGTGCTACTGTCACCAGGCTATGGGCCAGGCTGTTTACAGCAGATTATATCTGGCAGCTGGTGAACCTAATTGGGAGTTCTCTAAACAGATATGCTGACATACTGGAGAGCGATGGCTGAGCGTGGTATCTGTTTGGTCAGAATGCTCGTTGGCATCCAACTCTAGTATGCTTACTAGGCAGTCAGACTTGGTACCAATACCCCTTGAAGTGGGGACGCCGCGCTATAGCCGCATGGCTCTGATGATGACAGCGTGGAGTGCTCTACGAGGTAAACCTCTAAACCTCATAAAATAGTTTCTAACGGCGACCGTGGGCAGGATGCCCGCACTGAATATACCCCCTCACCCTTCCTTTCTCTATACACTTGCTCTAGTTGAGTTTTCAGAAGCCACAAATACCTATAGTGGATTACGAGCAATGGCCAGTAGTATAAGAGTTTCATTTGACCAAGAGGCCTTCGTTGGCCTTGACTGGCCTTCGTATTCCTATATCTCATATCCATCTAATCAAGACAATGAGGACTCATCCAATAATAAAAGAACGTCAGTCAACGACAGAAGCGTAGTATCCTTCGCAGCATCCTCCCAAAACACTACATCCAACTAAGTGCATTCACACACACGCACCAAAATGCTAAGCAGCTAAGGCTAGTATCACCTACTCATCCCAAACAACAGAAACCACCTCACCCACCAGCGACTTCTTCGCGACAAGCGGCACCGGCTTCCCAGTCTTTCCGTTCCACTGCGTCACACCCACCGCATGAGTATTCTGCAATGCCTCGGCAATCATCTCGTTGCGCGCCGACATCTCGAACTGGCGCGGCGACGACCCGTAAGCGGGGTAGAGACCACCGAAGCTGACGTTGGTAGGGTGACTGCCGGACTCATCGGCGCAGTTGAAGACGGCGATGGAATCGTTGTTGGTGCCGAAGGTGTTGTCGTCGCGGTTGCTGACGACGAGACGGTTGTTTTGGGGCTATAGTTGGTAGGTATCAGTAGGCTATTGTGGAGGGAGAAGCAAGGGGTAGGTAGGTGTGACTTACTGAGATGGCAATTTCCGCGACCTTGGAACCGTTGGGCGGGACAGCACCGCCGTAGGAGTTGGCGGTATAGAACTCTGTGAAAGAGATGGTTCCGTTGGATGGATAGGTCACTCTGTAGCCGGTGACGTGGTTGTTCAGTTCTGATGTCAGGTAGAAAATGACATCTTCGTGCTTGGCCTGCTTGGCTGTGGTGCCCGCGGGTGTCCAGAAGACACCGTGGCGGGGACCAGAACCGGGTGCTGCTACGAGGGGAGCTTGAGGTTCAAGAAGTCCAGTGGAGGGGTTGATGTGGAAGATGCGAATCAAATCAGCACCGAGGTCTGGGACGAGGACGAATTGTCCTGTTGGGTCGACGACGACGCCGTGGGAGTGGGGTGCATCCTGTCTGTCCGCGACGGGGCCGGGAGCCGGTAGGGTGTATGTGAAGGTTTGGGAGCGGTTGAAGACACCACTGATGGGGTCAAGGGAATAGCTGGTGACAGCTGATCCTTCACTGCGATATAATGTTAATATGGTAGTGGGATAGGGAAAGCAATATGGACGTACTAATGAGCCACGGCGAAGAACTTGCGGTGTGGCACTCCCGGGGCCGAGTAGAACTGCGACATGACCGGGCCGGCGATGGTCTCCAGCTGTAGCACCTTGGACAGAGTGCCATTGGGCCGGATGGCAAAGGAGGTCAGGGTACCGTTGGCAAGGTCAACAGCTTCGTCCAGGCAGTAGAGGACACGGTTGTCGTGATCCAGCATCAGCCAAGACGGGTTGGTGCCACAGTCAGTGGACTGGGCGACTGTTTCCAACTCATACTGTCCCTTGGAGGATTGGGACAAGGACAAGGTGGTCACGGTGCCTGCATACGAGGCAGCGTAGAGTCTGGAGGCAACGGCGGAGGTTGCTCCGAAAAGGAGGGGCACAACACTGAATTTCATCGTGACAGGGATACTCAGCTGGTATCTCTGCAGCAAGAACAATGTTCACTGATAAGTAATCGGAGTTCACTTGCTCTGGCTGAAGAATTGCGTGGTGGAATTTGTCAACGACCTGGTTGAAGGAGAGAGTCTGGACACGGCGGGATTGGTAAACGAGGTGATTTGCAAGCAGGTAAGTTCCAGAACCCGAGGGAGTTTCTGGGTGATAAGCGCCGGTTTTAACTCAAAGGGGCTGCCTTGTCTTGGCTGCAGACCTGCGTGAAGAACAATTGCACTATCGCCAAGCAGGGATAGCAGAGACTCCACGGTGAGACAGTCCCTTCCTTCATGGGCCCAAATGTGCCTCTAATTGGCCCTCGGCTGATTGCTAGTTTCCGACGGCGTTTCTGGGCGCGGATGCTATGCTCTCGTGTACATCATCTTGGCCCACCTGCCGGCATTAGTGAGTACGATCCATGGTTCCCGCTGACGGTCCGTAGATCATACTGTGCACGGGACTCTGCAGGTACCTGAAGCCTGCCTAGTTTGATCACCCTGAAACCAGCACTGCCTGTCTTGACCTTGGTGGTGAGTTTGCACGTGGGCTGGCTGTTCAAATAAACTCTCCAATTGACCCTCTCCCCGTGGAGAACACAGCAAACACTATAGGCTTTCCATTGAGGGCATGACGAGGACCCTATGGTTTGTGCACTTGGCGAGGGCTGACCGGAGCACAAATCGGGAAGGGCAGAACTCAGAATTCGGTGTTCTCGGCATGCCGAAAGTCGGTATCCCTTGGCGCCACGATGATTTGCGTCCAGGATTCGTATAGTTCCTCGTCCACGAGGCTGCCTACCGTCAGCGTTAGGCAGTGAGCTAATATGGGGCCAATAAGCCACTACGAGGATGACATAGCCTCTACAGAACGAGAGACGCAGAGGATCAGGACGCCAATCCTGCGCCCCACCTGTCTAAGGATTCGCTTTTGTACTATCCAGGGATTATGGCTTCGGATTAATGTATTCGGGATACCGACGGCTGAGCACACGGAGGATGAGGTTCAGCTCACGGCCCCTATCAGTATGCATTATGAGGATGGCTTCTTGGAAAGCAGAGGAATTGGATTATCGAACAACTTGGTTCTGGACCGTTGACTCAAGCGTATAAGTAACCTCGTTCGGTCCTCCTGTCACCTTCTGATCAGCAACCAGCCTTTCCTCTCTCATTCTCTCATCTGCCCATCATGCAGACCCTCCTTGTGAGCTCGCTTGTGGTCTCCCTCGCTGCGGCCCTGCCACACTACATCAGGAGCAATGGCATTGAAGCCAGCCTCCTGACTGATCCCAAGGATGTCTCCGGCCGCACAGTCGACTACATCATCGCTGGTGGAGGTCTGACTGGACTCACCACCGCTGCCCGTCTGACGGAGAATCCCAACATCAGCGTGCTCGTCATCGAAAGTGGCTCCTACGAGTCGGACAGAGGTCCTATCATTGAGGACCTGAACGCCTACGGCGACATCTTTGGCAGCAGTGTAGACCACGCCTACGAGACCGTGGAGCTCGCTACCAACAATCAAACCGCGCTGATCCGCTCCGGAAATGGTCTCGGTGGCTCTACTCTAGTGAATGGTGGCACCTGGACTCGCCCCCACAAGGCACAGGTTGACTCTTGGGAGACCGTCTTTGGAAATGAGGGCTGGAACTGGGACAATGTGGCCGCCTACTCCCTCCAGGCTGAGCGTGCTCGCGCACCAAATGCCAAACAGATCGCTGCTGGCCATTACTTCAACGCATCCTGTCATGGTACCAATGGTACTGTCCATGCCGGACCCCGTGACACCGGCGATGACTATTCCCCCATCGTCAAGGCTCTCATGAGCGCTGTCGAAGACCGAGGCGTTCCCACCAAGAAGGACTTCGGATGCGGTGACCCTCATGGTGTGTCCATGTTCCCCAACACCTTGCACGAAGACCAAGTTCGCTCCGATGCCGCTCGCGAATGGCTCCTTCCCAACTACCAACGTCCCAACCTGCAAGTCCTGACCGGACAATATGTTGGTAAGGTGCTCCTTAGCCAGAACGGCACCACCCCTCGTGCCGTCGGCGTGGAATTCGGCACCCACAAGGGCAACACCCACAACGTTTACGCTGAGCACGAGGTCCTCCTGGCCGCGGGCTCCGCTGTCTCTCCCACAATCCTGGAATATTCCGGTATCGGAATGAAGTCCATCCTGGAGCCCCTTGGTATCGACACCGTCGTTGACCTGCCCGTCGGCCTGAACCTGCAGGACCAGACCACCGCTACCGTCCGCAGCCGCATCACCTCTGCTGGTGCCGGACAGGGTCAGGCCGCTTGGTTCGCCACCTTCAACGAGACCTTTGGTGACTATTCCGAAAAGGCACACGAGCTGCTCAACACCAAGCTGGAGCAGTGGGCCGAAGAGGCCGTCGCCCGTGGCGGATTCCACAACACTACCGCCTTGCTCATCTAGTACGAGAACTACCGCGACTGGATTGTCAACCACAACGTCGCGTACTCGGAACTCTTCCTCGACACTGCCGGAGTAGCCAGCTTCGATGTGTGGGACCTTCTGCCCTTCACCCGAGGATACGTTCACATCCTCGACAAGGACCCCTACCTTCACCACTTCGCCTACGACCCTCAGTACTTCCTCAACGAGCTGGACCTGCTCGGTCAGGCTGCCGCTACTCAACTGGCCCGCAACATCTCCAACTCCGGTGCCATGCAGACCTACTTCGCTGGGGAGACTATCCCCGGTGATAACCTCGCGTATGATGCCGATTTGAGCGCCTGGACTGAGTACATCCCGTACCACTTCCGTCCTAACTACCATGGCGTGGGTACTTGCTCCATGATGCCGAAGGAGATGGGCGGTGTTGTTGATAATGCTGCCCGTGTGTATGGTGTGCAGGGACTGCGTGTCATTGATGGTTCTATTCCTCCTACGCAAATGTCGTCCCATGTCATGACGGTGTTCTATGCCATGGCGCTAAAAATTTCGGATGCTATCTTGGAAGATTATGCTTCCATGCAGTGAGTGGTATGATGGGGATATGAGTGAGGATATTAGGGGATGGTACTTAGATGCTGGGGAGGTATAATCATAGATTGGATAGAATTGGTAGATTACATAGACAGGTTACATAAATAGACGTTCGTTATATGTGAGCAGACATTACTACCATACAAGGGCATTGTTCAGTTAATCGAACGATAGTCATATGTTTTGTATGGGAAGAAAGTTTCACTAATAATCAAGCAAACGGATCAGGGGTTGCGAGCTGAAATACAATCTTCCGATGTTCTATTCTCTTCGAATTGATCTACCAGTCAGGTAAGAATGCGTGAGAGCAAGTATGCGCATCCTCTGGCTATCTAGTCAATAATAAGCATGTTGATTACAATGAAATACCACCATAGACATATTGTGTTGCTGGTAAAGCAAGCCCTCGCTAAATATGCTAATAACTTTCTATGCCAGTAGAATATTTTCCCACCCTGGGTGCGTACTCTCAAAAGCTTTCCATGTAATTATAGCCAAGCCAACCAGCTCCCAGAGCTCGCCACGTCGATGAAGGAGGAGAAAAAAAGGGACACAGCGGGCTTGATCGAACTCATTGTAAAGCCAATCATCTAGGTTGTATTCTGAGGAATCGCGGACCAGGACATGAGCATAGCACAAAAACACATACTTGCATTTGGGAAGAAGAAGGTCCAGACTGGGTGGTGTTTTACCGACCAAGATACCGCACAGATGGCCCTGGGCGTTCCAAAATGGTATGTGAGTCCGATAATCATGGTATGGGGTATGGGACCACCTCTCATAGTAGAAGTTTATGGCTGGGACGGCCAAAGTGCGGAAGTGTAGGATACTGTGTCCTGGGCGCTTAGAAACATTATCAGACAGTACTATATCACGGAGAGTGTCTTGGGCAGGCGTTTGGCCAAAAATCGACCATGAGGGGTAGCCGTAATAACAATATCCTGGGGGCTGATGGACAATTTTCTGGACACAATCTGGCTGTATTAGCTCTATTGTGCATGGTGTAGATATTTCATTCATCCACACTCCTGGCTCAATGACCCGCGAGCCAATACGCTTATAAAATATCGGACACACCCAACCTATCCAGGACCAGCTTGGGAAGGATTCTTCATGTGGGCCTGTTACCCTCGGCAGCCGGCGAATGGGAGTCTCTTTGGGAGACCAGAGAAGATAACGAAGGAATTCCCGTCGTGGAAGACCAGCAATAAGTTCTTCACAGCCGTCCATTTTATATTCGTAGCTCAAGATAGAAGAGATGCCGGTAAAAGCATTTAGAATATCGGCAGGATAGGACAATTTCCGTTCCGTATATTTTTCAACAAGACTCTCATACACTGATCTCGAGCCTTCCACATCATACGTATTTTTGTCAACCCCTTCTCCGAACAAAATGATTTCCTTCCGCAGTCCGTGTTCGTTCTCGAAAGCGAAAGTGTCTGTACCGAGTGTGTCTTCGCATCGGACTCCATTTTTCTTGCAGTGGAAATAAACCTGCCGATCCGACACAAACAGACGCCTGGGAGAGAGCAAAACCTCTTGAAATGTCCATCCACGAGTGTTGTGCAGAGACATCTTCAGAGAATCTCCTAGGCTTGGAAGAGCAGAGAGGAAGCGGGCTGTTCTCACTTTTTCAATCAATTGCGGGGGTCTAGAGTGAGGCCGTACGCCAGGTAAGCCATGATTGGCGTCTGCCCCACTGAGTGCAAATATAGTTAAAAGTGCATGTGAGTAGATTTCACCCATATACCGAATGACATCATGCTTCTCCTCACTATTCTGCAAGATACACAGACGGTCTACCCAGAGGTAGCGTTCATGTAGCTCTCGGACAAGCATCATACAATCAGCGATAGTGCGCGGTATATCACTTCTGTCGGGGAGCAGGGCGCCCTTATCCTGCAATGCCTCATAGTTTTTCATTCAGTGTCTGTAGCCCCCCTGCTTGACCCCAGACGTAGCTCAAGGCTAGGTATCGGACATTTGACCTCCTTCGCACTAATCGATTGTCGTGCACGTCGATCAAGATAATGTCGATTGGCTCTGATAGATTGCTCGCGCAGTCATGATCTGGACTCTTTTCACAGTCTTGTAACCAGGAACGCACAAGGGTGAAATCGATCTGGCCATGTTTTATTTTTCGGCCAACACCAGTCGCCTGATAGTTACGGGGCAGGGGTCGCAGGCGATCTCTATCATCTTCTAATATCCGGATTCTTCCCATCAAAACACGGTCGTCTAGGCTATAAGTTTTTACCGTGAGTATTTCAGTAATCATCAAAAGTATGTATTCGAATTCTTCCCTTTGGTATCTTTGGCGTAACATGATTGGGCTCGTATGGTTTCCACAGCAAGTCTGCAGAGGGGGCAGCCGGCCTCAACACGGACTGAAAATCGGATGCCGTGGCTCATGCTATCAAATATCGATTCACGAGAGAAGCAGTTATATTTGACATAATTGAGCTGATCGTCCATGGGCAGATTCGCACAACTATGGCAAAGCACGCTATCGGCCGCGCTCACGGGCGGTTGGGATTCTTGACGATCTGCCAAGGTTGTTGTCCCTCGTTCAAGTGAAGAACCTAAAGAATTTCGTCCCATATCAATCACGGTCTGACTGATGGTATTGAAGAGGGATGGTTTGGGGATGTCGAAAATGTTGTTCCCAGTGCGTCGGCGGAGCTGAGATTGGGCATCAATGCAGCATTGCCGGTATATTCTTAAGGCTCCATTCCGAAGCTAACCACCCGCGCTCGGTCTACGCGACCTGGCAATATTAGTCATTTCAGCTGCGATAGCTACTAGATCCAATGGATAAAGATATCTACCACTACTTATGCTGTTCAGGGGTATCCTTGCGTAATAGCATGTATATATTCCACGTCTCTATTTGAGTATTCGGACCAGGCCAATTGACCTTGAAGTATACGCTGATCTTCCTTGGCCAAAGGCTATATTAACGAAAGACATTAACACATAAAGCAGAATTAATTCACATAACACATATATTCCATGCCTTCAAGTTCCCAATATACACTTCACAGCACGATGAGTCTATACTAGACACTGTGACTGCAAACACACAACTGCAACACAGCTAGGCGTTATGCCACACATGGATTACCATGTCCCATAGCCCATGTCATTGATATGGGCTGCTTACCAGCCACCAGCGGGGCCGCTGGGGACAGGAGTTGGGGTGGGGAACCCACCGAACTGACGCTCCTCAAAGCCACCCGACGGGGTAGGAGCCGGAGAAGGAGTGAAGGAAGGCACGCCACTGGGGAATGGGGGAGCCTGGCCTTGCGGGCCCTGCTCAGGTCCCTCTGCAGGAGAACCGAACTGGCGCTTGAAGAAGCCTCCGAAGCCCTCAGAGGGTGCAGGACCGGGGGCACCAGAGGGAGCACCCGCAGGGGCAGACTCGACGGGGCCACCGAACTGACGCTTGCCGAAGCCACCGAAGTCACCGAATGGGACGGGGGAAGGGGAGCCGGAGGGAGGGGGCCCAGCGGGGGCGGACTCGGAGGGACCGGGGAACTGATGCTCCTCGAAGCTGGCTCCGGGGAAGGCGGAGGGAGTAGCGGAGGGAGTGGCGGAAGGAGCGGAGTCGAAGGGACCACCGAAGCCGCCGAAGCCATCGAACTGACGTCTACCGAATCCTTCAGGGAAACCGGAGGGGGCGGGGCCGAAAGAACCGGAGGGACCAGCGGGGGGGCCGGAAGGCTGGGGGCCACCGAACTGGCGCTTCTCGTAGGGCTCGGGGGTCACAGAGGGAGGAGCGCCGGACACCGAGCTGGGAGGAGGCGGAGGAGGGAAGGAAGATTCCCCAGGAGCGGGAGCCACCGAGCCAGAGGGAGCGGGAGGAGGGCCGTTGAAGAAAGGCGCCGGGGGCAGGGCAGCGACGCAGCCGACGAGGCTGGCCAGGACAGCTCCGGTAAGCTTCATTTTGATATTAGGATATGAAAGAGAGAATGACTTTTGATTGTTGATTTCAGAGTGATTGGGCTGTGAGGATGTTATCTGAAAGAGCGGACAGAGAGAGGCTTTTATAGGGTTCCCAGCTGTTCTGAGACGCCTACCCATATATCTTCTTGAGGAAGGATCATCATTCAGCGTGGGAGGTGAACAGGTTACAGAGCACCTGGTAGGTTTTCTCCGACGTCGGCACCAGTCAGGTACCATGGGGGTTTGCTGGCGAGGTTAGACCACTCCAGGTTCTCAGTTGCCGAGTGGAGAGATCAGCGAGGACGGCTCGTTCTCAAACCAATTGGAATACTTTCTTGATGGATGCCCATAATCTAAGCTTTGAAGCCAGTGCAAGGGGCACTGGCAGCGTTTGAGGGCATATTGTGACGTGGAGGTGATATGGCGGCAATGTAACAAGAACAGGGATTTTCAGTGAAGTCACCGTTGTTTCAGTGTTGCCTGAGAGAAACTCATTATATCATTGTACCAGCCACACTGCACAGTTACTGCTGCAACATCTGGGCCCCTTGTGAGTTGTCTGACCGATCGGCGCTTGAAGGTGGAACCAGAACAGGCTGTGTCGATCAACCCTCCAGCCATCCCTGGAGAAAACTGGTCGTGGGATATCAGATTGATAATCTGTATCCAATCAGAGAGACATCTGCCGGGACAATCCTGTCTACAATGGAAGCGAAACGCTCCTGCTCTTCTCCTGTGCCTGGGCCAGACTTGGGCTGAAGCTAACTGTTCGGCCGTGTTGGCCACATTGAGTCAACGGTATCCACACTATTGATTCCACCGGATGGTCTGCAAGGCTGGGATCGTGAATCGTTATTCTGTTTAGGTAATGCCGGTACAAAAGTGGTAGGAGAACTGTCATTCACCATGTCGACGACATGGTAGCGATACTGCGCGATGGTCTTCGCCGAAAACAAGCATTTCGGCTAGGTCAATTTCGACGCGAGGATTATATGACTCCGTGGCTCTGAGTAGGAAGTCAGTTATTCAGGCATGAATTATGACTTTGTCGTGCCCACCTAAAGCGTCTGGACCCTGACGCTCTTCTGGGTGTTGCAACAAGGGACCTGGCAATTAGCCCTGTCCTGAAACGCAGAATGATGCAAAATGGAAAGGCCCCAGCCACATGAGGCCCAGGAGCCTCATTGGAGCATTTCCTGGGAGGTCGGGGTGGCGGCTGTGGTAGCGATACACTTTCTGAGGGTTGATGGGGACGCTGGCGTGGCCTCCTGCCGATCATCTTCGGCTCGAGGGTTGAGACTGATAGATCTGCGCGCCAATTACCCCTCCACGGCATCACTCCGGCAACGAGGGTCCACAGAACAAAGTGATCGGTGAAAGCTGCAAGGAGAACGCTACTGACGTAGGTACTATGCAGGCTTGATGACGGTTATGAGCTTATCCACGTTCTGGGACGATACTTCTATCAGTTTAGTTAGTAGTTTTCCAGAGTTCCGCTGAGTAAGTACGTTCTGCCCCACAAGGATGCCACTCCAGTACTGCAAGCTAGGCAAAGAGTGTCTATGGATCGAGAAAGTGAGTGCTCCCGGCTCGTGGCTTCTCCCTACAAAGGGTGAGAAGGAATATTGTGCAGACATCTTCCGGCCGCGTAGGTTGTCGAGTCAATTCCTAGCGCCTAGGGTTAGCTCTGCCGTCGCGGTCCCGCACAAGGAAAAGTTGCGAGCAGAAGTGACATCACGCAGGGCATTGTTGGTCTCCTGTGCTTCCATGCGCAACCTATGCTCGCAATGTGTTAGGAGTATTTACCGGAGTACCCATGAGATATACTGAGTATATTGAAACGATATACTGCAGCTTCTGACCGCAAACGGCGAGATCCACAGCAGAGCAGGTTAGTATATGCACTGTCGTTGGAAATAAGGTGAGACATCAATCAAAGCTAGTGTATGTAGCACAGGACCGAAATTAGCTAGAACTCGCACGGCAAGTCTTGGCCATGCTCAATTTCACGGTTTGACTAGCAGTGGATCCGTTTCAGAGAGTGAAAGTCCAACACAAAGCACTTTATGAGAGTCACTTTCGTATATGTTGTTCAATGCCATGAAGTTTGGTAGGAAGTCCAGTCGGCACATGTCGATGCTTCTGGTTACTGTCAATGGATGCCAATACCGTGTCGGATCAGTTGCCCAAAACAAACCAGGGTCTCTAGACCGGGGCGCCATTCCCGAAACAAGCATCTATCAAAACTATAGTAGAAAGACCGGGAAATATATTTGGGTTTCCTGCTTAGCCAGCTAGAACCGGATTTTACTCCCCAAACAATGAGATTGCCCTATGGGGACGGATACGTCTTTTCTCCCTGACGCAGATAGTTCATTTTCCATCTACATACATTTTCTATCTTCTCACACTTCATCAGTTGTCCCCTCTTTTGAGCAAATAACTGAAATGTCTGCCCGTAGAGTTGGGAGCGATATTTACCATCGGCATTTATCAGGTATTCTCCAGGTCATGTGCAATTAATGGAAACGCGTGCCGTGGTGTTCTCCCGATTTCTGCCTCTGAGGCTATCGTATGCATCTGAATTCTGCCGCATTCCATGTGCAAGTAACCCTATAATAACCATTTTCACACTACGTCACGATCGCTCAAGGAGGACTAGTAAGGGATCTGGATCCGAGAGCTTCACTTAAGACGACAGGGAACGCTATGGGCATGGAGGGTTTCAAAAATACGAGCAGCTGAATAATGGCCCTTGATGGGAATTATACATCAAGGACTCAAAGTCTGATTACATTATACACTCCTATACTGATGGAAGACTAGCAACGCTGTAACAACTGCAAAGGATTCACGAGGATCAGTGACCCACAAAACCGCTTTGACCAATGTTCCTCAGGATAGACGAACGGACCAATTATAGATGACGCAGTCGAGAGCCTAGCAAGCTACAAGACAGTAGTGCTGATCCCAAAACACTAATAACTGCATTTGGAGATGTCGAGTGTCAGGCTACTGGAAAATGGAGATGGGAGTTCACTCCGAACGACAGTCAGCGAACTCACAATGAAATAACTATGAACGGATACATGGAGCATTCAAATAATCGCATTAGCGGGCATAGTCTGGCAGTCAGCTTCAGAAATGCCGGGGCTCCTCCCGACCAGTACTTCAAGGTGAAGACTGGGGATGATGAGGTGAGATTATGGAACAACGGACCGCGCGTCAGAGCCAACCTTATCCAAATAAGCTGATAAATTTGATGACCACCTGGCTGTCAGCAACTGCACAGCCTTACGCGACCCCTCTTTTGCTGGTTATAAATCAAGCATGAACACTTCTCTCGTTCGACCCTCAATCTCTCCTCCAAAAACTTATACTGATTGTTACCATGACCGGTTCCAACCAACTTACAGCCCTGGAGGCCTTTCTCCTTTCGCATCCCAGCATCGGCTACATCCCGCCCACCTCCGCCGAGTATGTGCCCACAGCCAACCGGGTGTTCATCGCCGGCATCAACGCCCGTCCACTGGCCATCGTGCAGCCCCAGTCTCCCGCAGATGTCGCAGCACTCGTTAAATTCGCCAAGACCCACTCTGTACCCTTTACCGTTCGCTCGGGCGGCCACAATCTCGAGGCTCGCTCCGTCGTGAATGGCGCCCTTCTCATCGACCTGCGCGCCCTGACGGCCGTTACGGTCGCCCCGGATCGTCAGTCCGCTACCGTCCAGGGAGGTATTCTCCAGGGTGAACTGGCTAATATCCTCTGGGAGGAAGGGCTGGTTACTCCGACCGGTTCTATCCCCAGCGTCGGATATGTTGGCTGGGCCATGTATGGCGGCTATGGGCCCTTTTCGTCTCATTGGGGACTGGGTGTTGATCAGATTCTGGGTGCTACGGTGGTGGATGCTGATGGGGAGGTTGTTGTTGCTGATGAGTCCCTCCTAAGGGGTATCCGTGGTGCAGGGGGAATCTTCGGCATCATTGTTGACGTTACTATCAAGGTCTACTCCCTTCCAAAGGTACGTCCACTTCCCCAATGATAGTAACAGCAAGTGTATTAAGCGTACAGCTCCTCGCCGGCGCAATCATTTTCGACTCCTCCGACATCACTCAAACTATCATTACTTTCAACGCCGCCTATGAGAATCTCCTCGACACAGAGGGCCTCCCTCCTCCACTGACCCTGCAGCAAGTCGCCTTCAACAGCCCTCAGGGTCGCGTATTCGCTGTGCTCTTTACTTGGAGCCACCCCGACCTAGAGGAGGGCCAACGATGGGCGGAGAGAATCTCCTCCCTCGCCCCGTTGCTCATGAGCACCGTCGCCCCCACGACCGTCCCGGAGTGGTTCACAGGCAATGGTGCCCTGGTACCCGAAGCTGTGTATGGGTCCCTCCAAACTCATAACGTCCGGCGCATCAATCCCGCCGTGGCGGAGGTGATTGCACGGAATGTGGCATCCATGCCGTCTGATCCGGGCACGATGGCCACAATCCATCAGTTGCGGGGACAGTCGGCCGGTGAAGACGCAGACAAGCTCGAGCATTCTGTGTTTGCGACGAGGGAGCCGCATTATATGCTTGAGTTTGTGGGATGTGCTACAGATGAGCAAAAGGCGGCGGCATCTGAGGAGTGGGCGGTTAAACTGGCAGAGGAGATTGCACAGGCCGATGAGGGGAATGTCTTGCCCACAGCGTATGTGTCTTTGATGAGATTCGCGAGCCTGAAGCCGGAAGAGGCAGTCAAGAAGGCGTTTGGGGCCAATGCAAAGGCGGTGCGCACGTTGAAGCAGAGGTTTGATCCGGAGAATGTGTTTGCGTTGGCGCTGCCGGCGTTGAAGTAGTACATGGTGGTGTTATTTATAGAAATGGTGATAGTATGCACCGATGTTAATCAACTCGTTTCCCTTACCGGGTTATACTGCCAGAGCTGGAGGAGAGATAATATGTCTCACTACCCCCTTCCCCTTCACCTCCTAGCATGTCCGCAATCCCCCTTAAC